CCAGGCAGGAATAACCATGAGACTCTTACCTCTAGTAAACTACTCAGAAAAAGCTGGAAGTGATGCTGTGGTTCAAACAGTAGAGTGCTGGCTTTGAGAGAAAGAGTTCAGGGACAGTGCCTAGGCCTTGAGTTCAAGCCCAGCACTGGCACAAACACACACAAAAAGAGCAGATCCCTGACTTATATAACTGTAACCAGACCTCTGTACATCACGATTATAATAACAATAAAAATATCAATTTAACAAAAAGAGCAGAAAGGACAAAACGTAACAACAGACCAACAGGCTTTATTTGGGAGGAAAGTTCGGGAAGGAGGACTAAGTCTCCTTCAGCTCAGCTGGAGGGGAAATGGCGCACCTTCCTTACAACTAGGATTCCTTTAAATATGAGGCAGAAAAAGTGAGGTCAGGGAAGGGGGGACAGATGGAAGTGGGACGAGATGGTGGTGGGAGAGTAATCTTATTTTGACTGAGGTGTTTCGAGGTTTCAACAGCGTTTGTGTCAGGGGTGTCAGCATCAGATGTGGCCTTGGTCTCAGGCTCTCTTCCAAGACCACTGGCTGTGTTTGTTGGTGGGGGGAGGAGAAGGGAGCTAATTCAGGGGCAGCAGCTGCAAGGACTGTTCTAAGATATGGCTGTCAGGGAGAAAAGAGAGTCATTGTCCATCAGCTATCCCATAGCTTAAAGCTGCCACTCTACCATTTGAGCCACACCTCTTCCTCTAGCTTTTTGCTGGTTAATTGAAGAGTCTCAGAGACCACTGCCTGGACTGGTTTTGAACTGGGATCCTCAGATCGCAGCCTCCTGAATAGCGAGGATTACAAGTGTGACCCATGGATACCTCTCCAGATTTTTTTTTTTTTTTTGGAGACAGAATCTCACTATGAATCTCACCGTAAATGTAGATGTATGCTACCACATCCATAGCTTTTTTTTTTTTTTTTTGCCAGTTGTGGGGCTTGAACTTAGGGCCTGGGCCCTGTCCCTAAGCTTCTTTTGTTCAAGGCTAACACTCTACCACTTGAGCCACAGCGCTACTTCTGGCCTTTTTTTTTTGTCAGTTGTGGGGCTTAAACTTTGGACCTGGATGCTGTCCCTGTGCTTAAAAAAAAAAAAAAAAAAAAAAAAAAAAAAAATATATATATATATATATATATATATATATATATATGGTTGGGAAGGTGGCTCAGTGGTAGAGCGCTTGCCTTGCATGCATGAGGCCCTGGGTTCGATTCCTCAGCACCGCATTAAAAAGCCAGAAGTGGCGCTGTGGCTCAAGTGGTAGAGCATTAGCCTTGAGCTGAAGAGCTGAGGGACGGCGCCCAGGCCCAGAGTTCAGGCCCCATGACCAGACCCAAAAAAAAAACATATATATATATATATATATATATATATATATATATATGTTTAATATATATTATTGTAAAGATACTATACAGAAGGGTTACAGTTACATGAGTAAGCATGAGTAAGGTAATGAGTACATTTCCTATTGTTACCCCCTCCTTTTTCCCCTACTATCCCTTCCCTCCCCACTTCCCCAACTCCTCCCCACCACTAAGTTGTAAAATTCATTTTTTTTTTTAATCTTTTTTTTTTAATTGTGAAAATACTGTACAGAGGGGTTACAATTACATGTGCAAGATAATGAGTACATTTCATATCAAACATTGTAGCCTCCTCCTTTGTTTCCCCTTCCCATCCCCTCCTATACCCCCCCACCCAAACCTCCCCCCACCAAAGTTGTAAAGTTCGTTTTTTGACATAACAACTTGTACATCTCATTGTTGCAATGGGTCCACCTTTTTCCCTAATTAAACGATTTGTTTTTGCCCTTCCCCTCCACAAATTATACCAACATCAAATGCAGTGAAAGCAGGGCTTATACCGTGGGGGAGGGACATACAAAGCAACAAAGAAATCATCTTATAAATAAGTTAGAAACAATCGCATGAAAGAAAAAAACATTTGAATACATATCTTGAGGTTCATTTCCCTAACATCAACTTATCTGACCTTTTCTGCTTTACTCAGACATATACTAGTTATTGCAAATAAGGGAAACCATAGGACCTATGTTTTTTTGAGCCTGGCTTACTTCACTTAATATAATTTTTTCCAAGCCTTTCCATTTCCTAACAAATGGGACAATGTCATTCTTTCTGATGGAGGCATAGAATTCCATTGTGTATATATACCACATTTTCTTGATCCATTCACCTACTGAGGGGCATCTGGGTTGGTTCCATATCTTAGCTATGGTAAATAATGCTGCAATAAACATAGTCGTACTGATAGCTTTAGTCTGGTCTTGTTTGTGATCATTTGGGTAAATGCCCAAAAGTGGGATTACTAGGTCATAGGGGAACTCTATGTGGAGTCTTTTGAGGAACCTCCATACTGCTTTCCAAAGTGGTTGAACAAGTTGTAAAATTCATTTTCAACAGTGTCTTATACATCTCATTGTTATAATGGGTCAACCTGTATCCTTGTTTCAGCACTTTGTTATTCCCCTCTCCCTATCCCTGGGCTCTTCAACTCAAGGCTAGCGCTCTATCACCTGAGCCACAGCCCACTTCCGGTTTTCTGGTGGTTAATTGGAGATAAGAGTCCCACAGACTTTCCTGCCTGGGTTGGCTTTGAACTGTGATCTTCGGATCTCAGCTTCCTGAGTAGTTAGGATTACAGATGTGAGCCACCGGCACCTGGCTACCTTCTGGCCTTTTCTGTTTACATGATACTGAGGAATTGAACCCAGGGCTTCATGCATACTAGACAAGCACTCTACCATCAAGCCACATTCCCAGCCCGTGCTTTTTTTTTTTTTTTTTAACTTACTTTATTGTTGTTCTAGATGTGACATACATTGGGATTACCTCTACATACATCAGATAACAAGTAGCTTTTCTTTTGCATAGTGTCATCTGTTTCTTCATTCTGTCCATTCCCTCCCTCCCATCTCCACCCACGAGTTGCTTAGTTCACTTGCATCAATGTCCAGTGCAGCCAGGTGCTGGTGGTGGTTCACTCCTATAATCTTAGCAGCTCAGGAAGCTGCTAAGATAGACCTTTGAAGCCATCCCAGGCAGGATAGCCCTTGAGACTGTAATCTCCAACTGACTAGCAAAAAGCTAGACGTGGAGCTGTGGCTCAAGTGGCAGATCACCAGCTTTAAGCAAAAAAGCTCAGGAACAGCACCCAAGCCCTGAGTTTAAGCCCTAGGACTGTATTAAAAGAAAAAAAAAGTATAACTTGCATTCTATTTTGTTTCAGAGGATATTCAGCTCCTTAGAGCTTTGGTGAAGGTTATAGAGCAGCACGTACAGGTCTAAATTGAGCTGAGGGAATTCAGATCTGCAGTTTCAGGAGATGCCTACAACTGTGTATGAATGGCACCGCTCTCAGTGGTGGAGCTTTATGGAGAGTGGGAAGCATTTTGGTGTCGAAGACAATAGCTTTGCAAATACCTATGATGTCTGTGGTGCAGCCTCTTCCTCCCCTCTCCCTTTTCCTCTCCCCTCTTCTCTCCTCTTTTGAGATAGGGATTTACTAAGTTGCCCAGGCTGGCCTTGAACACTTGGACTCAAGAGATCTTCCCACTTCATGGGCTGGGAATGTGGCTTATGCTTGCCTAGCATGTATGAAGCCCTGGGTCCAATTCCTCAGCACCACATTCACAGAAAAAGCTGGAAGTGGCACTGTGGCTCAAATGGTAGAGTGCTAGTCTTGAGCAAAAGAAGCTCAGGGACTGTGCCCAGGTCCTGAGCTCAAGCCCCAGGACTGGCCAGAGAGAGAGAGAGAGAGAGAGAGAGAGAGAGATTTCCTACTTCAGCCTCTGGAGAAAGCTATGACTACAGACACTGGCTACTCCCACTCCTTCCCCCACCCCCCTCCACCCCCAGCTTTGGTGGTACTGGAGATTCAACTCAGTCCTCCAGTCTAATCTCCACTTTTTTTTGGTTGTGGGGCTTGAACTCAGGGCCTGAGCACTGTCCCTGGGCTCTTCAATGCAAAGCTAGTGTTCTACCACTTTGAGCCACACCACTACATCCAGTTTTCTGATGGTTAATTGGAGATAAGAGTCTCATGGACTTTCCTGCTTGGGCTGGCTTTGAACCATGTTCCTCAGATCTCAGCCTCCTGAGTAGCTAGGATCACAGGTGTGAGTCACTGGTGCCCCACAAAAATATAATTTTATTGTTAATATTAAGGTTTTGTGGGGCTGGGAAGGTGGCTCAGTGGTAGAGTGCTAGCCTTGAGCTGAAAAGCTGAGAGACAGTGCCCAGGCCCAGATTGAGGTCCCACAACTGACAAAAAAAAAAAAAAGGTGTTGTTCAGAGAAGTTACCATTTCAATTTCACAAGTCAGTACATTTCTTTCATGTGACTACATTTATTTATTTATTTATTGGACAATATCACCCTATCCTTGCTTTCCCCCAGCATTCATTTTGGTTTTTGAGAATAGGCCTTACTCTGTATGTATCCCAGGCTGGCCCTGAATCCACAATCCTCCTGCCTCAGCCTCCCAAGTGCATGTGCCACCACTCAAGACAAAACACAACAAAGAAAAAAAGAAAATGGCAGCCGGGCGCTGGTGGCTCACGCCTGTAATCCTAGCTACTCAGAAGGTTGAGATCTGAGGATCACGGTTCAAAGCCAGCCCAGGCAGGAAAGTCCATGAGACTCATCTCCAATAAACACTAGAAAAACGGAAGAAAAACAGAGCCCACACCCTAGGCTCAAGCCCCAAGACTGACAAAGAAAAAATAAAAGAAATTGGCAGGTGTAACTTCTCATTAGTACGGTAGTCTTGGTAGGGCTGCTCTAGACAGCCGCTTCTAGTCAGCTATAAGGCTGCGGACTACAAGCCCCAGCATGCCTCAGTCACCCCATCTAACCACGCCTCGCCCCCTCCCTTGGGGGTGGGGCTGGTCTAGAGGGCGGGGCCCAGGGGCAGCTAGGCCCCAGGCACAGCCTGGGGAATGAAATACCCCAGGCTCTCAGTAGAGCCCAAAGCGCAGGCGCGACAGGTCGGGTAGCCGCTGCATTGAGTAGCAGCCGTTTTGGCAGCGGTGTCCGCCACAGGTGTAGACAGGTGGGTGCATCAAGTGGGGCTTGAGAGGGAATGTGCCCCTGGCCCTCCTGCGAGATGTGTGTCAGAGCTTGGTGAGGGGAGGTAAGAGACCAGAGAAGCAGATGTGAGGCCAGATCTTCCACTGCAGGTGTGCCAGCGCTCGTGACGCAGCAACAGGTGTGAGCAGGTGGGGGAGGGGCAGAGGCACCTACTCGCAAATGAGCCATCTTCAGGAGCAGAAAGCCCCTGGAGTCCCATCCAAGCTCCATCACCCACAGGGATGAGTCATTTGCTTCTCTAGGACCATCTGTGAAATGGGAGTAATGATGATCCCCCTCCTCAAAGCTGTGGTGGGGATACTGGGAGAAGGCGCAGTCTATGTCAGGCTTGGCTGTGTATTGGAATCGCCTGGAGCTCTTTAAAGATTAGCAGTGCTTGCTTCCTATCTCCACAAATTATAATTCCTTGTTATCATTTCTGACCTGCACAGTTTTGTGTTGTTGTTGTTGTTGTCATCGGTTGTGGGGCTTGAACTCAGGGCCTGGGTGCGGCTCCACAGTTCTGTTGCTCAAGGCTAGCACCTCTACTACTGTGACCCACAGCTCCACTCCCGGTTTTTAAGTGGTTAGTTGGAGTTAATCTCATGGACTTTCCTGCCTGGGCTAGCTTCAAACTGCTATCCTCAGAACTCAGCCTCTTGAGTAGCTAGAATTACAGCGGGGAGCCACTGTCACCATCACGGGCTACTGTGTGTTTTCAAGGCTCTTAACTGGTATCATAGGGAGAGGCCAGGGTATGGATCTCCTCTACAGTGCCTTACTAATCAAGTGCACTTGGCCATTCCAGGCCACCCTTCCCCCATCCCCATTTCCTCATCTCTGAAACAGAAATAATGGCAAGGGAGAGGCTGAAATAATAGTTGAAAGCTGAGCAATGTACCTGGCCTGCAGTTGACCTATCCTGGCTACTTTTAAACTTTTTAAAAAACTTTTTTATTGTTATTATAAAGGTGATTACAGAGGGGTAACAGTTATCTAAATCAAGTACAGAGTACATTTATTTTTGGACAATGTCACCCCTTCCCTCGCTCTCTCTTATTTTTTCCCTCCTGTCCCCACCCATAAATTATTATTTTATGTACTTCATCAATGGTTCCCATGGGCTTCAAATGTGGAGGAAGCTTTTCCTGTCATGGAAGTTTCCTGTTTCTTTTCATGGTTCTGAGCTGCTACCGTTTCAACATTTCTTTTGCTAGCATTTTAGGAGTTTTCAGAATTCCTTATTCCAACCTCTATCTCTTCTATCCTGTAGATTTTTTAGGATATCCAGACAGGCCAGGCCAGAGGGGCAAGGGCTGGCCAGGCTTCTGAAAGTCAGACTGCGCATCTGGGCTCCTGAGCCCCACCCCCACTGCCGCAGCGCTGCCCTGCTGACCTCACAGGACAGTGCTCCCATTCTCTAGCTGCAGCAGAGCCTGGGGAGGAGATGGAGGCCGCCTGGCTCATGCTTGTTTACTAACTAACCCAGCCTCAGTCTCCTGGGTGGCTCCCCAGGGAGCACAGGACTAGGGGCTTCTCTTCAGGGAGCTGCTCTGCTAAGTCTGTGTGTCATTGCTCCTCTGACAGGTCCCGCCCGACGACTCCACCCTGGAAAGTCCTTTTGAAGAAATGGCCCTGGTGAGGGGCGGCTGGCTGTGGAGACAGAGTGAGTGATCCTGGGACCAAGTCCTTGTGTGTCCTGTACCTTGTCCTGGGGCAGCAGTGAGGGAAGTGGGGGTGAATCCTTCCTCCTTAAGACTGGAGGATCTTCTGTGCTCTACTCTGTCCTCTTCTCTCTTGATCCTGGTGCTTGACAAACTCAACTTACTCTTCAAGTCTAGATATCCTTCCCTCCCTCCATCCCTTCCTGCCTGCCTGCCTCCTTTCCTTCCTTCTTCCTTCCTTCCTTCTTTCCTTTCCTCCTTTCCTCCTTCCTTCCTTCCTTCCTTCTTGCCTGTCTGCCGTCCTTTTCTCCTTTTCTCCCTCCTTCTTTCTTCCTTCCTTTCTCCTTTCTTTTTCTCTTCCTTCCTTCCTTCTTTCTGATGTCTGTCCTGGGGCTTGAACTCAAGGACTGGGCACTGTCGCTGAGTGTTCAAGGCTAGCACTCTACCACTCTGTTAGTGAGTGGAAGTGAGCCACAGCTTCACTTCCAGTTTTTTTTTTTGTTTTTTTGTTTTGAGGTTTAGTGAATATAAGAGTCTCATAGATTTTCCTGCCCATGGTGGCTTCAAACCTTGATCCTCTGATCTCAGGCTCCTGAGTAGCTAGGATTAAAGGTATGAGCCATCCTGGCCAGATGTCCCTTTCTTTGATGAGCCTTCTCTAACCCCCTCTAATCTGCTCTGGTAGCATGCACTGGGTCAGAGACATCCTTTTTCTTCAGCTCCTACACTGACTTGTAAAACAGCTGTACTTTGCCTGTTGGTCTCCCCATTCCCCTACCCCCATGGCAACCTTAGACTGTGAGCTCCTCAGGACAAGAGGACTGCGTTTGACCCTCTGAATGTCCCCAGCATCCCCAATCCAGGCTGGACACAGAAGAAAATGAGAGATGTTGTGTGCTTTGGAATCTATAAAGCTCCATCTCATCTGTGTTCATATTCTCTTCTAATTCCAGTTGCAAAATGTCTGAAGTTATAGTGGTCTCAGGCTTCAGCCCCTTGAATCAGAGTTATAACCTGACCAGAAGCTATCCTGGCGATCCCTGGGACCAGGGATCCAATGTGTCCATCTAATCTCAGTTCTGTCAGTTCAGCCAATACTGAATGCTGGTCCTGATGGAGTTTAAGACCTGTGAGGGATGCTACAGATTCCCCAGCCTGATGGAGGAGGCAGATAAGTCACCAAAGCTAGAGAAGATAGCAGGTGGAGGCTCAGGAGAGGGAGAGGTCTTTGCCCTTGAAGAGTCCCTGACTACCTTGGGAGAGCTTGGATCAGGCCATTCCTCTACCCTGAAGGACGTTTGTCAGTATCACTTTGGTAGTGTCACTTTACTATGGAGTAGGCCAGTAGGATGGAGGGTTTGAGCAAGACAGGAAGAGGCCTACCTTCATTTCAGGAAGCCAAGGAAGAGGTTAAATACTAGGGGCCGGAGCTGGGGACTCTGGGAGCCAATTTGGCACCCAAAACATTCTGAGATCATCACTCCTGGTGGGGCTGGAATACCACACAGGCTCCATCCTCCGCCGCTGGAAGAGGAACTGGTTCGCCCTGTGGATGGACGGAACCCTGGGCTACTACCATGACGAGACGGCGCAGGATGAGGAGGACCGTGTGCTCATCCACTTCAACGTCCGAGACATAAAGGTCGGCCAAGAGTGTCATGGTGAGCAGAAGCTCTTCCTCTATAACACTGTGGCCTTGGGTACTCTCCATGCATTTAGAAGGCTCTCTGCCACTCTCAGAATGCTTCCACAGGTACCATTTCTAGGCCTTCTAGGTCAGTTAGCTGAGGATCAAGAAACTGCTGAGCTTCTACCCTGTGCTGTGTCTCAGAACAGTCCTTGCTCTCTAGGATGAAGATGAATTGAGATAAAGAGGCTCAGAGAAGTTGAGTGAGTAGTCCAGAGTCACATAGCAAATCTGATTTTTTCAATCAAGTCTCAGGCCACAATAACAGAGTAACTGAGAGAGGTGCTCAGGAAGCCAATAATATGGAAATGTTCAAAAGATTTGAAGAGTTCAACAGAGCCCACTGTGGGTGGCTCATGCCTGTAATCCTAGTACTTACAGGAGGCTGAGACCTAGAGGATCATGGTTAGAAGTCAGCCCAAGCAGAAAAGTTTTTGAGACTTCATCCCATTAACCAGCAAAACACCAGCCTGGAGGTGTGGCTGACATGGTGGGGGGAGTCAAACACTGGTGGTTCATGTATGTAATAATCCTAGCTACTCAGGGATCTGAGGACCTTGGTTCAAAGCCAGCCCAGGCAGACAAATCCATGAAACCTTTTTTTTCTTTTTTTTTTTTTGGCGGATCCTAGGGCTTGAACTCTGGGCTTAGGTGCTGTCCCTGAGCTTCTTTTGCTGAAAGCTAGCACTCTACCCACTCAGGCCACAGTGCCAGTTCTGGCCTTTTTGAGTAGTTTATTGCAGATAAGAATCTCATGGACTTTCCTGCCCGGGCTGGCTTCAAACCACGATCCTTAGATCTCAGCCTCCTGAGTAGCTAGGATTCCAGGCGTGAGCCACTGGCACCCGGCTTAACCAGTAGAACAAATGAACTGGAGATGTGTCGTAAGTGGTAGAAAAGCAGCCAGGATTGAAAAAGTTGAGTGAGAGTGGGGTTTTGAGTTCAAGCCCCAATACTGGCAAAATGGGGGGGGGGGGGGAGAGAACACAACACAAGACTCCAAAGAAAGTGTGTAGGTTCAGAGGTTAGCAAGGACCAGTGAAGAGGACTCAGAGCAGTGAGAAACTACTTTTTGTTTTTTTTTGAGATAGGGTCTTGCTGTGCAGTCTCTGGTTGGCCTTAAACTGCATAGCCTAGGCTGGTTTCTATCAATTCCTACTCTTGTTGCTGGTTTCCTAGGGTGGGGCCCTGGCACCTGTGCTCATGGAAACACAATGTATGTGTGTCTTCTTCCAGATGTGCAGCCCCCAGAGGGCCGGAGCCGAGATGGCCTGCTGACCGTGAACCTACGGGAGGGTTCCCGCCTGCACCTGTGTGCAGAGACCCGAGATGATGCTGTGTGAGTGGCTTTGGCGAGAAGATGGGGTAGGGTCTTGGGGAACACAAGATAGCCCTCCTCATTGCCTCTTCTGGTTCTCTGATGGTAAGAAGAGCAGACGAAGTCCAATGAACAAGCTTGTGTCGTCAAGGCTGGCAGAGGGATGTGAATGGCTCCTGACGATTGGTGTGGCACACAATGGTCCCTTGTGTGCACGCCAGCCTAGGTGCTTGGTCCCGGGTATTCAGCCCCATGGGAGGTGAGCCCAGTGGCTTCTCCAGGGACCTCAGGGCTAGATCCAGACTTGCCTGCAGACACAGCTGATTGTGTTTAAGGCATGGGTACCCCACTATCAGATGCTAGAAACCTCCAGATCCTCACATTCCCTCCATTCCTACCCTCTGGCCTAGCTACTTGGCCTTATACTGGAGGAGAGGGAGAGATGAGTGTGGGAGCGGGGCAAGGGACCTCTGGGCACATCGCATAGAGCCGCCTTGTCCTCCCCAACCGGTTGCTATGGCAACCAATAAAGGGCCAATTGTCCCACAGCCACGGGGCATTCCTGAGACTCTGGGGTCAAAGCTTTGGAAAGCTGTTTGTAGGATTGGGGTGTGGAGGTGGATTACACTAGAACACCCACTTACACAGGTCGGAATGGAAAAGCCCCTAAAAGACCCCCCCCCCCAATGCAACTGTACAGAGGGAAAGAGACTGTGGTCCAGAGTGCCTCAGCCTAGCTTCAGGTCCGTTCCCATGATGGGGCTAGGGATGATCGCTTTTGTCCACTTGACGGAAGGTGGGAGAGGCTGGGTTGGAGAGGAGAGTCTAGAACATGGAAGGCCCCTCTGCCCCCCAACTGCCCTTTCCTTGAACTCCTTCTTCATAATCTGGGCATTTGCTTTGCAGAGCATGGAAGACAGCGCTGCTGGAAGCGAACTCCACCCCGGTGAGCCCCCTCCCCCTCTGCTCTCCCTGCCACCCTGTGTGCCATGGAATCATGGGTGACTCAGACTCGGTCTTCTTCGTCTAGAGAGGCTTGTGCAGACTCGAGCCCCTGGAGGCCCCCGTGAGAGAGTGTGCACAAGCCAACTGGGGCTCAGAGGAGGGAGGAGCATCAGGTCAACTAGAGGAAAGGATCTTTTATCGAGCAACTACTATGCGCCAGGCGAAGCACAGGAGTCATTCCTCATGACAGTCCTCTGGGACTGGGATTATTGTCACCCTCAGCAGATGGTAGGACTAACATTCATTCATCTGCACAAGTATTTACTGAGATCCTACTATGTATGAGGCACTTGGGCCAGAAATCAGAAGTGAGCCAAAGGGAGGTGGGACCTGTCCTCCTGGAATGAGCTTAGAGAGAAGAGCTTTATGTGGCACAATTAATTTACTTAGTTAACAATTCCATTTCAGTAGCTAATAACTCATACCTGCAGGATGGGACCCCTTTGGTGATTTGATCCCAGTGCGTGTTTAGATGAGGCTCAAGGTGAGACCTGAAGGATAAACAGAAGTTGGATGAAAGGTGTGGGGATGAGGTGAAGGGATTAGCTTTCAGGCAGAATGTTCGACATGTGCAAAGGCCCTGGGCAGGGGTTAAGATGTTGGCAAATTGAGGAACAAAAGGGATATAAGAACAGCCGGAGTTCAGAAAGTGAGTAGTAGGCAGTGGGGGAGAGCAGGTGGGGCCAGACCTTGTGGACTGTTTAAGGATATTGGTTTCTGCTACGAACACTACTAGGCCACTGGATGTTTTTAAACAAAGGAATGGCATGATCATATCGATCACACTAGTTTTCTTCTCCTTCTTCTCTTTCTCCTTTCTTGCAGTATTGGGGATTAAACTCAAGGCCTCATGCATATGCTCTACCATTTGAGCTATATCCCCAGTCCTTTTGCTTTTAGTTTGTTTTTCAGATAAGGTCTTAGATTAACTTTGCCTGGGCTGGCTTCCAAATAAGATCCCAGCCTTCTTAATAGTTGGGACCAAAGGCATGCATTTGTATTTTTCAGAACAGTCAGAACACATATGATGGTACACATTTTTTTGTTTGTTTTGTTTTGGTCAGCCATGGGGCTTGAACTCTGCACCTGGGTGCTGCATTGTGCTCTTCAGCTCAAGGTGAGCACTCTACCACTCTACCACTTGAGCCACAGTGGCACTTCCAGTTTTCTGGTGGTTATTTGGAGATAAGAGTCTCACATACAGGGCTGGGAAGGTAGCTCAGTGGTAGAGCGCCTGCCTTGCATGCTCGAGGCCCTGGGTTCGATTCCTCAGCACCACATAAGCAAAAAGAAAAAAGCCGGAAGTGGCGCTGTGGCTCAAGTGGTAGAGCGCTAGCCTTGAGCTGAAGAGCTGAGGGACAGCGCCCAGGCCCAGAGTTCAGGCCCCACGACCGGACAAAAAAAAAAAAAACCAAACCAAGAGTCTCACATACATTCCTGTCTGGGCTGGCTTTGAACGGCAATCATCAGATCTCAGCCTCCTGAGTAGTGAGGATTATAGGTGAGAGTCACTGGTGCACAGCTGGTGATGCACATTTTGTTTGGTCCAGTCGTGGGGCCTGAACTCTGGGCCTGGGCGCTGTCCCTCAGCTCTTCAGCTCAAGGCTAGCGCTCTACCACTGGAGCCCCAGCGCAACTTCCGGTTTTTTCTTTTTTGCTTATGTGGTGCTGAGGAATCAAACCCACGGCCTCATGCATGCAAGGCCAGCACTCTACCACTAAGCCACCTTCCCAGCCCATAATGATGCACATTTTAATCCTAGCCTTCTAGAGGCTGAAGCTGGACAGTAACAAGTTTGAGACCCTGTCTTAAGAACAACAGCCAAAAACAACTAACCAAACACACACAAAAAAAGTCAGTCTTGGGACTGGGAAGGTAGCTCAGCGGTAGAGCGCTTGCCTTGCAAGCATGAGGCCCTGGGTTCGATTCCTCAGCACCACATAAACAGAAAAAGCCGGAAGTGGCGCTGTGGCTCCAGTGGTAGAGCGCTAGCCTTGAGCTGAAGAGCTGAGAGACAGCGCCCAGACCCAGAGTTCAGGCCCCATGACTGGCAAAAAAAAAAGTCAGTCAGTCTGGTTGGTAGAGAATAGATTGTAGAGGGATAACAATGGACACTTAGAGACCAGGTCAGAGGCTGGGACAGTGTCCAAGAAACAGGTGTAGCCTAAGTTTTTGCTGGTAGAGACAAGCTGTTGATCACAGGACATACTTAGGAAATGCAATCAAGAGAGCTTAGTGACTGGAGGTATGGTTTTGAAGAGGTGCTGGGCCCAGCATGGCCCAGCCTCCTCTTGTCAGACAGATTCTATGCTTGTTCCTTCTACCTCTCCCATCTGAAGAGAAACACTCAATGTAGCAGAGGATACAGAGATGCATTTAGAAACACCTGTAAGCCACCCACCTGCTCAGCACCTCGCATCATTTTGTCATTTCATCTTGGTAGGGGAGGGTTGGGGGGAGGCAGTTGTTATTAATCTCATCTTATAGATGGGGAAGGTGAGATTCAGAGAAGGAAGTACCTTGGTCAAATTCTTACAGGTTTAAGTCAGTAGAGGAGCCTATATTAGAGCCATGGAAGTGAATTCATATTTTCATTTTTTTGGTGCTGGTCTTTGGGCTTGAACTCAGGGTCTGGGTACTGTCCCTGAGCTTTTTATTCAAAAGTTAGCATTCTGCTTACTACTTGAGCCAGCTTCCCTCCTGTATTTTGGTGATTACCTGGAGAAGAGTCTCACAGACTCCTGCCCAGGCTGGCTTTGAACTGCATTCCTCCAATCTCAGCCTCCTAAGTAGCTAGGAGTACAGGTATGAGCCACTGGCACCTGGCTTAGGCATGGGATTTTGAGAGGAGGCCAGCATCTGCATAAGGAGCTGTGTGCACAGAGACAGGAAAAGGATGTGTGGGCATTTGTATGTGAGTGGATGTGCATGTGTGTGCATGCATGTGCATGTGTGTGCTTCCAAGGGCCTGGAATCTGGCCTGGCTGGCTGGTTTAGCATGTAGGATATGACATCAGAGAGATGACTTCTAAAGTGAAGGGCCTGGTCATAAGGACTTCAAATTCTAATTGGTCTTTTCCTGAGGGTTGTAGAAGCAGTGAGGGGGGGCTTTAAGCAGGGAAGGCTGTGGTCAGGGAAGGCAGGGGTGGGGAGTGGGCAGGCTTGCAGGTGGAGAATGGATCAGAGGAAGTCAGGGCTGAGAACTTTGGAATAGTGATCTTCAGTGGAGAGGTTGGGCTCACCCAGCTTTGAGTCTGAGTTCCCTTAAGCAGGGCTAATCAGCCCCATGAAGACAGGCAGAAGGAAGGAAGGTGAAGGCTGACCGTTCTGCACTCTGTGACTCTATGAAGCTGCCCTGTCCCTTCTGTGTCTGTCCACTACCCACTGCTGTACTGACCACTTCTCTTGGCCCTGCCCTCAGCCCTTCCTCCTTCTGTTCCTCATGTTCACATCCCTCTGGGCCGGGGCAGGCTACAGCAGGTGTGTTTGCACCTGTGTCTCAGTACTCACAACTGCCCACCTCTGTGTGTCTGTGGCTCTCTCTGCCCCTGTGCCTATGTAGGAATGATCTACACTTTCTTCTTCCTCATGCTACAGGCTCATACCCTACTTTGTCTGGAGGCTCCAAGAAGAGTCCAGTCCCTGACCCTAGCAGTACCAGAGCACGCAGCCAGGGACAAGACTGGGTGGTAGTGGTGGTGGAGGCCAGGGTGGGCAAAAGGACAGATCAGGGCAGCCTGGGCATGCCAGCTGCATGAAAGAGGAGAGAGGGTGGGCCGCAAGAGGCTACTGGACCTTTTTGCTTTGTCACTTGAGCAGTTAGCCACATCCCCCTCCATTTGAACCTCCTGCCACCTTCACATTGGGCCTTAGAGAAAGAAGACACACTCCTGCTCCAGCCCAGCTGGCAGAGGGGCCTGGTAAGAGCTCTGAGTCTGCAGGTATAAAGGGCCTGACTCCTTCCTCCCTCCCTCCCCTCCTTCTTGGGTTTCTGTGGCTTGAGCAGGCCCCAGCTGGAGCCACGGTCCCACCCAGGAGCCGCCGGGTTTGCCCCAAGGTCAGGTGTGTGACCCGCACGTGGAGCCCCTGTAAGGTTGAGAGGCGGATCTGGGTAAGTGCTGGCTCAGTCCTCCTTGCCTCCACTCTGGCCACCAGGATGAGCCTCCCACATTGCCTGTCCCATCCCCTTCCTGCTCACAGACAACCCACATCTCCCCTTTGCTCACAGGACACCAACCACAGCCCAGCTTTCAGGATCCAGGTTTTCTGCTACCTCCTCTCCCCGCTGTGCTCTACCCAGCCTGCTCTACCTTCATGTTCCACATTCCAGCCTCTCCCAACTCCAGCCATGGCACGTTCCCTCTGCTGCCAAAACCCTTGGCTCCCTCGTTCACATGACAAACTCATGCTCAACTTTGAAGCCCACTCACAGGCTGCCACCTCCTCCGGGAGAAATTTCTAGATTTCAGGCACCACGTCTCCCTCCCACAGCCCAGGACATGAATGCTTAGTTAGTACTGGCTTCATTCTGCTTGGCTTCAAGGTCATTGCAGTCCTACTTTTCTGTAGTCTCCTCTGATCTGGAACTTCCTCTGAGACAATGACCAGGTCTGCCTGGCTCTGTTCCTGGGAGCCTGGCTCAGGGTTGGGTGTACAGCAGGTGCTCAGTTAGTGCTCAATGAGGGGGGCAGTCTATTATAACCACTTTACTCCTAGCAGTAAGCATGTGGTGTGTCAGAGAATGTTCACTGAATGAGTGAAGGGCGGAAAGAAGGAACAAATGAATGAACCAGAGAGTAAGAAACCTCTGTGTAGCATTAATGTTATAATGCAGTTTGGGTCTGTCTCTCCCCTAAGTTTTTTTCTCAGAATTAGGATTTAGGCCTAGGCCCAGTGGTGTGAGTGGCCGTGGGAGTTGCAGTTAAAGAACTTGTAGCTGAGGGAGTGGCTTAAGTGGTACAGTAACTACGTAGCAGGTGAGAGGCCCTGAGTTCAAATCCTAGAACTGCAATTAAAATACCTTTGGTCATCGGATCAACCATGAATTCTTCATGCTCAGTAGTGCTCCATGCATGTGTTAGAATTGCTTAGTGACTTAAAATGCCATTTTAAGCAATTCTAACCAACATTCATATTTGCCTCTGGATTCGCTAATTTCACATTGGGGTAGAGCCTAGGAAATCCGTAGGGTTTGTTGTTTGGTTTTGTGGTATTGAGGACTGAATGCAAGGCATCACATATCAGTTAAGCAATTTCCACTTAATACTAAAGTTTGAACTTAGGGCTTTATGATTGCTAGGCAGGCACTCTACCCTAATTAAGCCACACTCCTGGCACTAAAAAAAATCATCTCTGGGGTTGGGGGTGTAGTTCAGTGGTAAAGTGCTTGCTCAGCATGCTTCAGGCCCTGTTGTTCTCCTACACTAAGGAAAAAAAACAAACGGCTTGTAGTGGTTATGATGTGCAGAACCACTGAGCCAGCAGCTCTTGGGCCATGTGGTTGAATACCTGCGTTCCCCTGGATTCTCAGGGTACTTTGGGAGAGGGTAGGTAGGGTAGGAAAGACTGTTGACAGAATGGGAAAGCTGAAGAAGCTCTAAGAGGTTAGCTAACTTGATGGACCTGTGTCACTCAATTGGTCTACAACTTAAGCTATCATTCTGAGACATTCCCTGTACCCAATCTAGGATTCAAACTTGTTTAATTGACAATTCCTAAAAATGAGATTTAGAAGACTGTACACACAAGTACACAAGTTTTAGCTGAAGGGGTTATTTGCATATAACGCCCTGATTGGTCAACACTGTCCCTGCCCACAAAAGGGCTAGATCTTGGAAGAGGTTGAGATCAGAAATCAAGCCCTCCAGTTCTGTCCTAGAGGTCTCTGGGGGTATCTGTGCCTGTAGTCAGGAGATCTCTGGGTTTACTTCTGGGCCTCCCAAACCTGGAGGGTAGAAACCGGTGTCCCAGAGGAACATGAGGCAGTGTTTACCACCTTCTCCAGAGTCTCACAAGGTTGACTCATTGCAGCTGCAAGGCAGGTAGAGGCCTTGCTTTGGACTTCAACTTCCCAAACAGTAAAATTGGGTCTGAGTGTTTAAATCTCTCCAACCCTCTGGGCTTGGAGCCCAGATTCTGGTCACCCCAACTGGAAAGCCTTATTGGATCACTCCTGGGGAGAGAACATAGTAGCAAGTTGAGTTACTTAAGACTAAGGACCTACAGAATTGCTTATCTGAGCCTCTTGCATTGCCCTGGGATTGCTTGTTCTCCTTGAACCTCAACTCAGGGTTGGGGTTTTAGTTCCAGTCTGGCCCTGTATTTTGAGCCACTTGAGCTAAATTCAATAAATATGTATTACGCACTTGCACTTGCTAAAGTCAGGCAGGCTTGAGGGGTTTCCAAGAGATAAAAGGACACACCAATCTTTTGACATTGGTCATGCTCTCAAGGATGGAAACCAAGAGTTATGATGTCCAGATGGACCCCCAACAGAATTTGCAGTTGAAGGAGAGAAATATTGGCATCTAAAAGACAAGCTAGGTAATTGAATAAGAGGTGAAAAAGTGTTTTATCAAAGGGAAATGACATGGTGATTTGAAATCACAAGTTGTGCTTGGAGAACTAACTTGTTTTATTATCAGACATCATAAAAGAAATGTTGTTACATGTGGGTTCCATCCCTCACCTCTCAGCCATTCTTCAGTCTCTGTAGTGTGGCTTCTCAATTATTCCTTTGAAAAGTGATTTTTTTAAGATCACTCATAGCTTCCAAGTTGCCAAACTTGGAAGTGTTTTGGGTTTTGTTTTGTTGTTTCTTTGCCAGGAGCCATTTGAATATTTATAACATCATCCATAGGCCTAGACAGACTGAATTTTTGCATTGAAAAAAGGCTCCTAGATTTATTGAATTTTGAGCCCTGTCAGACATTTCCCAATCCTAGAAGAGGATGGGCAGAAAAAATGTATTTACAAAATGAAATCAAGGCTGGAGACATGGCTCAAGTATGGCTTGCCCACCTAGCAAGCTTAAGGACCCTGAATTAAAACCCTGGTACTATCTAAAAAAAAAAAAAAAGATAAAACCACAGGACCTGAAACTGAGTGTATAAAACAAGAGTGTCAACCTGAATCCTTGGTTTGAGTGCACAGTGGTAGCACAGTGAAGCATTTATGGGAAGAGGAAAAGGTTTGGGAGATGGAAAGATGTTGCAATCAACTTGAGTTAGTAGAGTCGGAGACATCTAGATTTCTAAGGGGTAACTGGGCCATTTAGGTGGGAAACCCAGTGAGAGAGAGAGAGACAAGGTGAAGGGGAGCTAAGAGGAAGAATAGGATCCTGATCCTCCTCAGGTCAGCCTCTATGGATAAAATGTTTGCACTGGAAACTTCCATTTAATCCAGCATATATTTATTGGTTCCTGTCATATGCTAGGCCCTGCCTGCTGGTAACACAAATTAATGAGCCTTTGTCCCTAGGTAGCTCACTTTGGGGGTTATAAACAGGAAAGGCCAAGAGAAAAGATAACAAGAAGCACTAGAGAAGCCCACAGAGAAAGGAAGAAAGAATTGTTTCAGAAATTGAAGGGTTTGGGCTGGGAAGGTGGCTCAGTGGTAGAGCGCTTGCCTTGCATGCATGAGGCCCTGGGTTCGATTCCTCAGCACCACATAAGCAAAAAGAAAAAAAGCCGGAAGTGGCGCTGTGGCCTAGGCCCAGAGTTCAGGCCCCACGACCTGACCCAAAAAAAAAAAAAAGAAAGAAATTGAAGGGTTTCCTGGAGTGGGTGACTTTTTAGCTAGGCTTTAGAATGTTGGTAGAAATCTAATGGGGTTGAGAGAGGACAGGAAGTACATTCTGGACCCTGACCATTTTCTGAGCATCAGTCCCCAGCTCTGTGATACTGTGGAGATAATGCCTGCCTTAAGGATCAGAGGCTAGGGCTAGGAATGTACCACTCAATGGTAGAGTGCTTGCCTAGCATGCATGAAGCCCAGGGTTCAATTCTTCAGTAGCACATAAACAGAAAAGCTGGAAGTGGTGCCTGTGGCTCAATTGGTAGAGTGCTAGCCTTGAACAAAAGCAGCTCAGGGACAGTGTCCAGACCCTGAGTTCAAGCCCCAGGACTGGCCAAAAAAAAAAAAAATGATCAGAGTCTATAACACATGTGAACACTCTTTTCAGGACCTACTACACAGTAGATGCTTGATAATAGTTACTCTAGCTACTTTCCAGCTGTACCTTTCATTTCCCTTCTTTCTTTGCAACCCATTTATTTCCTGCCTGAGTCTTGATTATATTCTTCCTGTGACTAGGAGAAAAGAGAAATCCATTATGTTTTTCCAAGAGAGCCCGCTAGACTATTAAGGGAAGTTTGGTGCTATGGGAAAATTTGGAGCAAGGTAAATCAGGTCAAGGGAAAGAGCATTATTGTAGGGAGTTCAAGTTTTAGAAGACAAGATCCATGGGATTTCTGGGAGGGGTCTAGAGGAGAATGGGGTGGGAGTAGGGGGGTCAAACCTAGACCAGGTAGTTCCTAAGCAGCTGATGAGGCTGGACTCCCCAGGTACGTGTCTACAGTCCGTACCAAGACTACTACGAGGTGGTGCCACCCAACGCCCACGAGGCCACTTACGTCCGCAGCTACTACGGACCTCCCTATGCAGGTAAGTCCCCTGCCTGCCCATTCCTGCACCAGGCCCCTCCTACAGCCAATCAGTCTGGACCCTTATATTCACGCATTTTCTTAGGCAGGACCCTTCACAAACCCTTCCCCATCTTAAGCCTCAAAATAGCTCTCCCTACTCCAGAACTGACCTCACCTGTCTCCAAGTCCTAACTTAGACCGATGGCTTAGTAAAACTGTTCCTGAGCTGGTAGCGACCCCTGGTGGTTAATATGGAGAACCACCGCGTCCTTACTGCTCCAGTGGTCATCCTCAGGGGTGGTGGTGCTTGAAGATCCTGGGGTTCCCCCCCTCCGCCCCCACCCACTCGTGGGTTCTCTCTGCAGGCCCCGGCGTGACGCACGTCATAGTGCGAGAGGATCCCTGCTACAGCTCGGGCGCCCCGCTGGCCATGGGCATGCTCGCCGGGGCTGCCACCGGCGCCGCGCTCGGCTCGCTCATGTGGTCGCCTTGCTGGTTCTGAGCCCTGGGACCTCACCCTGCGTGTACACCGCTAGACCCCATTTCCTCCTGAATCCCATCCTCTAAGCCTTGTCTCATGACGGCCCTCTCTGCATTTAGTCCCTTCTGGGCTTGGCTCGCCCCTCCTATTCCTTTCTCTCTTCACCTCCCACCACCAAGGAAGCTCTCCTCTCAGGCAAGTGCATGGCTACAGCCGCCAGATATCCCAGAAACAACGTATGACCTTGTTTCTTACACAAACAGCAATGTAACTTCATATGGTTCCAAATTCTTCTGGCTCTGGAGACATGAACAGGCTAGCTGTTCTGTCCTGGGGGGTACTCCAAGCCTGGCAAGGAAAAGAGGAATAAACACTTAAAGAAGCTGCATCAGTCCTTTGCCCCTAGGATGTGCTGGGCAGGGAGCAGGACAGCCAGGCTGGGAATACTGCTTTTGCCATGAGCACTGTGGCATGATCAAGGAATTAGAGGAATTCAGTTGGGCAGTCAGATCATGGTGAGCTTCTAGACTAACAGCTTGCTGAATATAGGCTCTTATGGAGGGATGTTTTGTGATCACGGCTACAATGAATATTTTGCCGTTTGTGTTAGGCCTGCAGTCTCTATACCCTTCTCACTACCAAATTCTCTGGTCCCGTTTCCTATGACAACAATTGAGCTGAATCTGGTGGCTCTTGGTTAGGGGACAGGTGGACTGTGTTTTGAGACCTTTAGCCTTAGAAGAGGCCTCCATCAGGGAATGCCTTTCTGATTCCCGGAGCTCAGTCCTCTGACACCATCAAAGCTGTCTTTTCCCTTACTCCGGGGAAGATGGAATTTTTTCCCTGTAGGGCCTGACTCACCTTTGTTCCAGCCTGGGGGATCCCTCATGTGCCTGCCTTTAGGTGGCCCAGCAGTCTCCTCCTAGACTTTCCCCCTTCCCATCTTAAAGCCAATAGAAATGCTAACATCCTTGCCCACTAAAGTTCCCTTGTAGATGGGGGCCCCATTGGCTCAGCTGCAGAGACTAATAAAGATGTGATTGGCTCTAGAACTGGCTTTGGCTTGTTTTGTTCCTCTAGCAGGCCCTAATTTTCCAGGACATCTGTGACTTAGCATCTTCTAGTACCCTCTGGTACAGTGACTACCAGGATAGATTCTGAGGTTGGTGGGTCTTGTGAAAGTATGTTAGCTGAACAATTTCAGACAAGTCACTTTACATTCCCAAACCTTTTTTTTCTACTGGTAAGGTGGCTCAAGAGAAGCTATGGCAGACTCTTGTTGCCTGAGCTGATGGAAAACACTGGGATACATAACTGAGATGTCTAGGGACTCAAACACTGTCATTTAAATTCTGGTTTGTTTCCATCTTTATAGGGCTGGCTTTTGGGCTGAGATTAAGGATCTGGGAGGTTCATGATCAACCAATATAGATTTTCTTCCTCAAAGTTGTAGACCTGAGAGTCACCAACGCAAATTTGTTCCTATAGACATCCCTGAATCAATTATGTTGGTCTGAATGAGGGCCCAAAACAGGGCTTATATCAGATTGGAGTGGTGTCCCAAATGCAAATTAGAGCACTGAAATAGGACTAACAGATAAGAACTGATTGGCAAAGATATCAGGGGTCCACTCCAGTCCAGATACACCAACTTTGAGGGAAGACAATGATGATTGAGCAAGGGCAAAGAACAGGGTACAGTAGGTGCTCTACAGAGGAAAGATCATGCCCTACCAAGGAAATTTAGGAAAGCTTTGGCACAGAAGTGGAAATTCACCTTGATCCTTAGAGTAAGGGTTTGGCAATCAGAACCGAGAATCAGTTTGAGCAAAGTCCCTACAAGGCCTGAATGTGGTAAAGTTCAAGAATCAGTCTCCTGTCACAACAGTTTACACAGAGGAGGGATGGTAATGCTGGGTTCTAGCAAAACTCATGGACTAGACTCATAACCATAGAGCACATAGGCCAGGAAGTGGCCCCAACAGAGGCGGAAGCATGGATCCATCAGCCTTGTGAGAACCCAAGGTCTGTGAGCACCTGAAGAACCCTGTGTTCTCAGGATCCAGTAGTGGATTAAATGCAGGCCATGTTTTGGAGCTTCACAAACGCCTAGTTTAGTGTTATCACCATTAAGCCATCTCTGAGGCTGGCTTGGAGAACAGGTCTACTCCCTGGGGCTCAGTCTAGGGCTATCTTAGGAGAATCTGTGTGTGTGTGTGTGTATCCTAAAACTTGAACCTAGGGCCTAGACACTGTCCCTGAGCACTCTTTTGCTCATGGCTAAACTATCACTACAATTCAGAGTCTCATGAATTTTCCTTGATCCTCAGACCTCATCCTCCTTAGGATTTCAGGCATGTGCCACCAGCACCCAGTTAGATGTCTTTTTATTATTATTAATATTATTTAATATGTAGGAAGAGTCTAGGCTGAGCCATCCAGATTTCTTCCCATGAATGTGAATTCAACAGGGTTAGGAAGCTGCTGGAGAGGGATAGCTGCACTCATCTTCCCTCCCTGAGCTTCTCCTACTTGAGTTTATCTTGTAGGTCCTAACAATACTTTGGGCCAGTTGTCACAAACAGCTGCAAAGAGGGAAAACAAATTGATCAGTCTTGCATGTTGGATCACAATCTATACTTAAATCAGGACACATGACCCTATCTAACCTACTACCCTGTTTGTGCGGTGTAAATCCCACATGGCTCCTTACCTGGTACAACAATTCCCAGAAAGGAGATCAAGGGCCCCTGGAAGACAGCCAACCGTATGACAAGAACAACTCTTCCTTTAGTAACTCCTTTCCTAAGGAGCCCCTAAGGACATTCAGAGCTGGGAACTGCCTACTAAATGAATGAGACTAAAGAGTTGTGTGTCTGTTTCAGATATGGGCAGAACTATGATCACATGGTATCATCAGGCTGGTGACAAATAGAATCCCGGAGGCTTTGGACATAAAGAAGCCCTTAACACCCAGGTGTGGGACAAAGTGAGGTACAAAAGGCTGAGGGAATGGTTGTCTTAAGTTGGTTCAAAAGGTAAATGTTCTCCAAACTATGCTGTGATGGGGATTACTGACTTTAGGTAAAGAAGAAATAGGGCCCAAAGCAGCTCTTGGTCATTTCTCATTAGGAGTTTACTGGATAAGACTAGATCTGTAGGGACATTAGAGGGAGCTAAGTGTAGATAAACACATCAGCAGAGATATATGGTAAAAATAAGATATCTTCTTTGACAATTGGTGTTGGGAAAACTAGATATCCTTATGTATAACTAAAATTGGATCCCTGTTTACCATGCACCAATATCAAATCAAATACTTCATCCGACCTGAAACTCTGAAACTTCTGCAAGATGGAATAGGAGAAACATTAGAACTTATAAGAATATGTAGGGTGTGTGTGTGTGTGTGTGTGTGTGTGTGTGTGTGTGTGTGTGTGTGTGTGTGTGTGTGTGTGTGTGTGTGTGTGTGTGTGTGTGTGTGTGTGTGTGTGTGTGTGTGTGTGTGTGTGTGTGTGTGTGTGTTTGGTCATGGGGCTTGAACTCTGGGCCTGGGCTGCTGTTGTCCCTGTGCTCTTCAGCTCAAGGCAAGTGCTCTACCATTTGAGCCATAGAGCCACTTCCAGTTTTCTAGTGGTTTATTGGAGATAAAAGTCTCACAGACGGACTGAGAAGGTGGCTTAGTGGTAGAGCGCTTGCCTTGCATGCTCGAGGCCCTGGGTTCAATTCCTCAGCACCACATAAGCAAAAAGAAAAAAGCCGGAAGTGGCGCTGTGGCTCAAGTGGTAGAGCACTAGCCTTGAGCTGAAGAGCTGAGGGACAGCGCCCAGGCCCAGAGTTCAGGCCCCACGACTGGACCCAAAAAAAAAAAAGTCTCACAGACTTTCCTGCCCGGACTGGCTTTGAACTGAGATCCTCAGATCTCAGCCTCCTGAGTAGCTAGGATTACTGGCATGAGCCACCGGCACCCGGCCTGTGGGAATGTTTTTTTTTTGGGGGGGTCCGGTTGTGGGGTCTGAACTCTGGGCCTAGGCGCTGTCCCTCAGCTCTTCAGCTCAAGGCTAGTGCTCTACCACTTGAGCCACAGCACCACTTCTGGCTTTTTTTCTTTTTGCTTATGTGGTGCTGAGGAATTGAACCCAGGGCCTCAGGCATGCAAGGCAAGCTCTCTACCACTGAGCCACCTTCCCAGCCCTGTAGGAATGTTTTGAAGAGTCCCAGAGGCATAGCAAATAGGAGAGACTTGACAAATGAGATTACATCAAAATAAAGTCTCTGCATAGCAAAGGACCTAGTTATTAAATGAGAAAGGTGAACTGGGAGAAAATCTTCATCAGCAATACATCCAACAAAGGCCTAGTATCCAAAATATACAATGAGCTCAAAAAATTAACAACCTCCAAAACTAATAAACCAATCATGAAATGGGAAAAGGAGCTTAAGAGAGATTTCTCAGAAGAAAAAGAATGGCAAATAGACATGAGGAAATGGTCAACATCCCTGGCAATGAAGGAAATACAAATCAAAACAACTTTGAGATTCCATATCATCCTAGGTAGACTGGCCAACATCAAGAATTCATGTCGGTGCCTCACGCCTGTAAACCTAGCTACTCAGGAGGCTGAGATCTGAGGATCGCGGTTCAAAGCCAGCCTGGGCAGGAAAAGTCTGAGAGACTCATCTCCAATTAACTGCCAGAAAACCAGAAGTGGCACTGTGGCTCAAGTGGCAGAGCACTTGCCTTGAGCTGAAGAGCACAGGGACAGTGCGGCCCAGGCCCAGAGTTCAAGCCCCATGACTAAGGGCCTCCCGCTAAAAAAAAAAAAAAAAAAAGAACTCAACAAATGCTGGCGAGATGTGGGAAAAAAGAACCATACTGCATTGTTGGTGGGAATGTAAATTAGTACAATCACTCTGGAAGACAATTTGGAGGTTCCTCAAAAAACTAAATCTACAAGTTCTCTAGCCATACCACTCTTGAACACCTACTCAGATCATTACAAGTCAGGATACAGTAAAGGAACTTGCACATCCATGTTCACTGCTGCATTATTCACACAATAGCCAAGTTATAGAAACAGTCCAGTTGCCCTACAACAGATGAGTAGATTAATAAAATGTACACATACATACACACACACGATGGAATTTCATTCATTCATTAGAAAGAATAAGATGGTCATTTGCAGAGAAATGGATGGACCTAGAATAAATCATACTAAGTCAGGTAAGCCAAGCTCAAGAGACAAATGGCACATTTTCTCTCATATATGGAAGTTACAACTAAATATAACTGGACACAATAAACTATGAAGGACTCTAGGCATCCACATACAGTCAGACTAAAGGAGGATATCCTTAGGGATGAAACCTAAAGGTGTAACTTCTCCAAACATTTAAAATACTATTTATAGAAATGAACTCCAGGAAATGTAAATGTGGGGTTTCTTTTGTTTTTGTTGGTGATGGTAGTGGCTTTTTTTTTTTTTTTTTGTGGAGGTGGTGGAGGTGGTAAAGGGGAGGCATGCACAAAGGAAGGGAGGAAGAGTAAACAAATGCAATCATGCTATTCAGCATGTATTATGTGGAAAACGGCCTATGCAGGGATGGGAGGAGGAAACTAAGGGAAAGCAAAGGAAGAGGTGACACTGTCAAAAAAGAAAAAAGAGAAATGTGCTTATTACCTAACATATGAAATGGTAACTCCTCTGCAGAATACCTTAATAATAACAATAAAATTATTATTTTTTTAAGCCACAATCTTTCAGAATCGAATTTCCTCATCCCCTAAAACCATGGCTTGAATTCAGGACTTCATGCTTGCTTGGCTTTCTTGCTTGACTGCCATTCTACTTGAGCAATGACCCAATCTTTCTTTATTCTGGAAAACTAGAAAGTCTCACAAACTTTTCTGGCCAAGCAGACCTTGAATTCTGATCCTCTAGATCTCAGCCTTCTGAACCACCATGCCTGACTCAGAATCGAATCTTCAGAGTAACATTACATTATTTTTGCTATTATTCTATTTCTTAGGAGCAAGTCACTAGGTCCAGTCTGTTACAGGCTTATACTCACAGAAAAATCAAAAGCAAAGTATTGTACACAATTGTATTTGTGATGCCTTTTTTTTTTTTTCCATTGTGGGGCTTGAACTCTAGGCTTGGGCACTGTCCCTCAGCTCTTTAGCTCAAGGTGAGCACTCTACCATTTGAGCTACAGCGCCAATTCCAGTTTTCTGGTGGTTAATTGGAGATAAGAGTCTCATGGACTTTCCTGCCTAGGCTGGCTTTGAACTGTGATCCTCAGATCTCAGCCTCCTAAGTAGTTAGGCATGAGTCACTGGCACCCAGCTTGTGATGCTTTTATTTTTTTATTATTTATTTATTTGTCAGTTGTGAGGCCTCAACTCTGGGCCTGGGCACTCTCCCTGCACTCTTCAGCTCAAGGCAAGTTTTCTACCACTTGAGCCACAACGCCACTTCTGGCTTTTTCTGTTTATGTGGTGCTAGGAATCAAACCTAGGGCCTTATGCATGTGAGGCAAGTGCTCTACCACTGAGCCACCTTCCCAGTCCCTTGTGGTGCTTTTATATGACTGGTAGCCCAGAACATTTATACTATCCATCACCACAAGTGAAGATGTGTTGTGCTACATTATATTATACTAACTGATAGCATATTTTAGCTCTATTATAATCTTCTGAGACCAAATATATATGATCCAACTGGGAACCAGTGGCTCATATCTGTAATGTGAGCTACTCAGGAGGCTGAGATCTAGAGGATCAAGGTTCAAAGCCAGCTCAGGGAAGAAAAATCTATTTCCAATTAGCCAGGAAAATGCTGGATTAGAGGCAAGGCTCAAATAGTAGTGTGCCAGCTTTCCGCAAAAAGCTAAATGAGAGTGAGAGGCCTTGAGTTCAAACCCCTATCAGAGCACATACACAAAATACATATGAACCATCATCATTGACTAAATGTCAGTACAGAGTACATGACTATATACTATTACTACACCCTAGAAAAACAGGGCTATCTTTCAAGTTGCAGCCACTCTCTCACTTCTCAAAGAGTTGTGACACCCAGAAGCTTTTCACATTTGTTCTTATTTTTATGGATTCCACATTCCTTTTATAGTTAGTTCTAGGGAAGAGATGAAGAAACATATGGTAATTCAAAAACTTGGCAGGAATGGGAAATCAAGTCAATAATTGTTTTATTTATATGGTTTTGGCAGCAAAATTATGTTTATTAAAAAAACTGAACTGTACTTCAATTGTTCGAAGAACCCTAAGCCAATGTAAGATCAGTATTAAAAGCAGCATACTGGAAATTTTCTTAAAGATATGGCATAAAAGAATCAAATGTGACAGTGTAAAAAGATAATCACCTCCTTTTCAGAAATAACGACTACCTCCAAATAAAGAATATGACCCATCTGACATATTGAATGGATATTTATTTCAGGACATGCCAGGTCAAAATAAAACCAAAGAGTCAATCCTTGCTTTTAACAATAATATTGTATTATAAAAGCACTTTACAACTCCATCCCATCTTTGAGTATAAGTTACGGGTATGTGGGCTAATGATTTTCTGAAAGCATTTCTCTATTCAGATCCATAATCCAAGTGCTCTCTGAATATTACAAGGTGACAGTAAGTGAGAAGTGGAGGACAAAGAGGAAGATAGGGCATAAGGTTTCCCCAGTGAAGGGTTTTGTTGCAATGAGTAGATGAGGAAGTATGAAGTTATTTTTCTTTTCATCTTTATACTGTGTTAAGTAATGCTTACAACATAAATTCAGCAGGCCTTTTCTGAGCCGTAACTCAGAAGTTTTTCCCCTGCAAACAATGTATTTACAAGTGTGTTTATTAACTTTCACAGCAATCTCACAATAACTAGTAAAGATTAAAAGGGTGCACTCCTAGTATACTGGTTTGCAATATTTTAAGAGAAATACATATTGCCATGGTGATGAAGCTCTAAACAGATTCAACAAAACACAGAAATTTAAAGTTTTTAAAAAAGAAAAAGAAATAAATATCACCAAAAAGATTAATTGTAGCTTAAATATAAAACTAAATCACTATTAACTAAACTATACAGATCTAATAAAAGGAAAGACCAGCCTGAAAGACCCAACATTTAAAAATGCTAAAAAATAAGGCATAAATCTGTGTAATATTGACTTTTTATTTCCATTCTTTTTCCTCTTCAATATATATATGCTTTTTCTAATCTGCTGTTAGGGGCTTACAAGAAAATTTCCACCTTCAAATTTGACCTCAAGTGTCCAGTATAGAGTATTTGTTATACTGTGAGGGTTCTTTTTCATTCATTGGTAAGCTTCAGATATCATTATTTGTATTAGTTATAGTAATTTTAACCATGGTGCCAAATTTATTCTTCCACTGGTTTTTCTTAAAGGAATTTGTCTTTTATAATGCCTTGCCTGCATAGCATTTTTTTAAAAAGCAAATAAAAATGAGTGATATCTATTGCTTAGAAAGGTAAATGTTGGTGTTGGGGACTGCATGTGCACATGTAGAGAGTAACTATCATGACAATTTAACAGGCTTGGGAGAAATATCTCATTAGCTTTTTATGATTTTATCATGAGGAATTAAGTATTAAAAACCTGTTCTGAAGCACCTGGTTACTTTTCTCTCCCAGAGTCTAATAAAGCACATTCAAAAGGGTCACAAATACATTTTATGTTCCCCTATTTTTAAGTTCTCAGTTCATTTTGAAGATAACACCAGAACCCTTTCCTCATTCAAAGCACTGCCCACAATAGCTGAGTTCTGACCTCAAAGAAAGTCTAAGTAATTTATATCAGTGTTTAAGAATAGTTTTGGACATCTTGGCCCACAGCCTAGAGCAAGCATAAGGTATTTCTAGTGGCTTGGTTGGACAATCGTTGTCTCTTGTTTGCTTTGTGGGAGGGTACAAACAGGGATAGGAAAAAGGAAAGGTAAGAAAAGCAGGGAGAGGTCAAGTGGGTAAGGGACTGCCTCTGTGAGCATACAGCTCCTTAACCAAGCCACACTCATAACAGTTGAGGTTTCCATCATTTTAAAGCACATTATCGTTAACATTAAAAGGGAAGAAATGTTAAGAAAATGTATCTAATCTTTGAAGTTATCACTGGAATATGCTGGAATCTTTTGGCTTTTTTTAAAAAATATAAATAATGAAGACACTGACTTTTTTTTGTGCTTGTGAAGCTAATAGATCATCTCCACGAGACAGGCAGCAATGATGAATTGCAACACGTTATTACTGAAGGGAAAGATTTAAGCCAATATTCACACTGCAGTCAATGAAACAGAATGGGGCCAAAGCAGTGAGCTTCTGCAGATGGGTTAAAGATGCCTTGGGAGATTAGCAGGAACAGCCTCCTTCAGTGACTGGTTGCTCCTGAGGTTTTTCCAGTTTTATGTCAATCACTGAAACAAAAGTTAAGGAGTAATAATTGATTATCTATACAAAATAAACCTGACAACAGCCTACAAACAAGAGAATTCCAATAGTAGGGGGGAAATTAATAAATAATGGCACTTCAGTAGACCACAGTATTCTATGAAAAGTAATAAAGACCTGGAAAACATTTATAAATGGAAAAAGGTGAATACTAAATGTTATAAGTTGCGTAGCTTAATAATAATGTTTTCCTATTGAAAGAGGCTATATAAGGAAAATATAGAATGCAAATAACAAAATCCTGAGAAATAACTGTTAATAATGAAACCCATCTAATGATATTCCACAAAGTAGAGGTTAAAATGCAGTTTTGCTCTCACTTCTTTTTTCCTCTTCCCTTCTCTTCTCTCTTCTTTTCCTGTCCCTTTTTCCTTCCCTTCCCTTCAACAATCCATTCCTTTCCCTACTCCCTTCTCTTCCTTCCCTTCTTCCCTTTTTTGGGCAGTATTGAGGATTAAACTCAAAGGCCTGAACTTACTAGGAAAGCAAGTACCTTACAATCTGAGCCACATCTCCTTTGGCTTTGTTTTTCCTATTTTTTTTGGTAACTTTGCTCAGAACTGGACTGCAATCCTCCCGTTTGTCTTCTGAGTAGCTAAGACCAAAGACTTATGCTATCATAGGCTTGTTCAGATTTTTTTTTTTGGTCGGCCGTTGGGCTTGAACTCTGGGCCTGGGTGCTGTCCCTCAGCTCTTCAGCTCAAGGCTTAGCGCTCTACCACATGAGCCACAGCGCCACTTCTGGTTTTCTGGTGGCTTATTGGCGGTAAGAGTCTCATGGACTTTCCTGCCCGGGCTCTGCCTCCTGAGTAGGTAAGAAGATTACAGGTGTGAGCCACCAGTGCCCAGCCGGATTGTTTTTGAGATAGGGTTTTGTTAACTTTTGCTCCAGCTGGTCTCAAACCTTAATCTTCCTTTCTGAGTAGCTGGGATTGCAACTGTATGCCACACTGCCTCTCTCTGAGTTATTTCTTGCCCATGCAAAGGGAGAGCTCAAAAATGCTAGAAGTAGGAAAAGTAAATATGATATACTGTAGGAGGAAAACCTAAAGTTAATGGAATTTAAACTGAAGGAAGAGACTGAGATTCTAAATTTCCTGCTCACTGAAAAGCAGGCAAGTGGCAGGGAGCAGGGCTCATACCTATAACTAGCCACTTACTTGGGAGGCAGAGAGTAAAAGCAAGTCTAGGTAAAAAAGTTAATGAGCCCCATTTCAAACCAGGCATGGTGATTCATGTCCTCATCTCAGCTCTGCAATAGATTATAGAAAGGTCTAAGGCTGCCCCAGGTAAAGCCTTGAAAACTAAAGCAAAAAAGGGCTAGTCATGGCTCAAGTGGTAGAATATGTGCTTACAAAGTACAAGCCTTGAGTTCAAACCCCAGTACCAACTACCTAACCCACCAAAACAAACAAAACCAAAACCCAAACAAAATAAAAACCACTACTCTCGCTGAGTAATTATTGTGACCAGCTAGCTGTAAAGAGTGTACATGGCTAACTAGAACCCAAATGCTGTAGAAAAACCTTGTTTCTATACACTGAAGCCATCAATTCTGGTCTGTAAAAGGCAATAGTCTAACATTCCTTAGCCAACCAAATAAAGGTCTAACTACTAGCAGTAATAATTTTCTGAAGAACCAAACAGGATACTGTCTTCTCTGCTTCTGTCCTGGGTGCTTTCCATTCCAGGCAAAGCTGCTGCTACACGTCGGAAGAGCTGTGGGAGAGAGATATTATCAAGGTTGATGACTCAGGATCACAAGTTAAATGATGTGGCTTCTGGGTTATTCTTCTCTTGGACTCTAAAATGCCTATACTTTCTATGAATAAATATGTGAAATACATGCCAAATACAAAGAGTGAATAAAGTCATGGTCTCTGCTATCATATGGTAAGACAAGATATTAATGAACAGTTCTGAAATAAGCAGCAAAATGTCATAAAGTACTACAGAAACTCACAGAGAACACATCATTCATTTAGTAAGTGGAAATTCTAACTTTTATAAAGGATTAAGTTTCAAATTCAATGTATTAAATCTATAATGAAAGTTTGTATAGTCAAAATTACCATTGACAATTACTTAGAAAAGTTCTATTACAAATCAATTTAAGACCTCTGAAACCAATGCAGCTGGCCTTTCCTCTACCATCTGAAAGAACACAAGGTGAAGTAGGTGGGCTGTTTTTTAGTATGATTCTAAAATACCAAGATCAGTATAAATACCCCCAACTGGTGAGATACTGTTCTTTAGCTTTTTTTTTTGGTCAGTCATGGGCTTGAACTCTGGGCCTGAACACTGTCCCTCAGCTCTTCAGCTCAAGGCTAGCACTCTACCACTTGAGCCACTGCACCACTTCTGGTTTTCTGAGTGGTTTATTGGAAATAAAGAATGTCATGGCAGTTCCTGTCCAGGCTGGCTTTGAACCGCAATCCTTAGATCTCAGCCTCCTAAGTAGCTAGGATTACAGGCGTAAGCCAACAGCCCCCAGCTTTACTATGCTCATCTTAAATGTGTTTTTTAAAAAACTGGTTGTGGGGCTTGAACTCAGGGCCTACTTCTGTCTTTGAGCGCTTTTGCTCAAGGCTAGTTGCTCTACCACTTTGAGCCACAGCTCCCCTTCCAGTTCTCTGATAGTTAATTGAAGATAAGAGTCTCATGGACTTTCCTGCCTGGGGAGGCTTTGAACTTTGATCCTCAGATCTCAGCCTCATGGGTAGCTAGGATTACATGTATAAGCCAGTAGTGCGCAGTTTAAATGTATGTTTTTAGTTTTGTTTTTTTGTTTTTGTGTTTTGCACTTGTGGGATCTGAACTCAGGGCCTGCCAGCTGTCCTTGAGCTCTTTTGCTCAAGGCTAGTGTTCTACCACTTTAAGCCATAGTTCCATTTCAGGTTCCTGAGAGGTTAATTGGAGATAAGAGTCTCACTATGACTTTTCTGCCCTGGCTGATTTTGAACTGCCATCCTCAGATCTCAGGCTCCTGAGCAGCTAGGAATACAGGAGTGAGCTACCAGCGCCTGGCTTAAATGTGCTCTTAAAATAAAACTTTGGGGGCTGGGAAGGTGGCTCAGTGGTAGAGTGGTAGTGCCTGAGGCCCTGGGTTCGATTCCTCAGCACCCCATAAGCAAAAAGAAAAAAGCCGGAAGTGGCACTGTGGCTCAAGTGGTAGAGCTCTAATCTTGAGCTGAAGAACTGAGGGACAGCGCCCAGGCCCAGAGTTCAGGCCCCACGACCGGACCCCCCCCGCCCCCCCCAAAAAAAAAAAAAACAACTTTGGTTTCATTCTCTTATCTGGGAGTTCCAGGAATTTTTCTTCCTTGACTAAATTATATAAGCCAACAAAGCACAAATTCTAGAAATGGAAACAGAATTCTAACATACATGTAACACATTTTGTAAGTTAAGAAGGAAGCTACAGTAGAGCTGGTGGTTCACGACTGTAATCCTAGCTACTCAGAAGGCTGTGATCTGAGGATCACAGTTCAAAACCAGCCCAGATAGGAAAGACTGTGAGACTCTTATCTCAAATTAGCCACCAGGAAACTGGAAGTGGAGTTGAAGCTCAAAGTGGTAGAGAACTAGCCTTGAGCTGAAAGAGTTCAGGGACAGCGCCTAAGTCCTGAGTTCAAGCCCCAGGACTATTCCCCCCATCCCCGCCCCCAAAAAAATCAAGGAAGTTACAAAAGAAATTTTAAAAAGCAGTTCTGTTCCAAGAATTCCAATAGCAATTTATACTGTGAGATACATTTGAATGACACCTAACTCAAAATAGGAAATTAACTCATGTTTCAAATACCCCTTTATACATACAGTTGAAGATAATTCATTACAATATTTTTAGTGTACCTGTGTTTTGACTAATCTGACACATTTGGTCAGGTGTCAAATTTTCCATTTGTGGTATCAAGTAAGTTATCAAAACAACAAGATTTTGGAGCATTTTTTATTAGGATGTACAAGTTATACTTCAAATAAAGCTGTTTAAAAATGCTAATAAAATAATCAGCATCTGAGGAGTTACCTAAATTTGGAAACTATTAAACCTAATAAAGATATTAGCCATCAACAGTTTTCTTTACAAGCTATGTGGTAATTCTAAAGATTCCAATCCTGTAAATATTGATAGAAGGACATAACTTCTACTTATACTAATTTTACAGTAGGACATGACTTTTTTTTTTTTTTCTGTCAATCCCAGGGCTTGAACTCAGGGCCTGGGCCCTGTCCATGAGTTTTTTTTTTTGGCTTGAGGCTAGCACCCTACCACTTTGAGCTACAGTGCTACTTCTCATGGACTTTCCTGCCCAGGCTGGCTTTCAACCATGATCTTCAGATATCAGCCTCCTGGTTAGCTAGGATTATGGATGTGAGCCACCAGGGCCCGGCAAGACATAACTTCTATTATTCAAAATCCTAAATTGTCTGTAGGTTCTACAGGTTCAGCTACTTACACTTACTATGTATTTCAGTTAGGCTCTAGGAATTTTTTTATATTATATATTTATGGTTTTTAAAAATTTTTCGGTGCTAGTACTGGGGCTTGAACTCAGGACCTTGTGCTTTTTTGTTGTGTGTCTGTCATGGGGCTTGAACTCAGGGTATGGACACTGTCTTGAGCTTTTTTTGCTAAAGGCTAGCACTACTACTTTGAGCCACAGTGCCACTTCCAGTTTTCTAGTGATTAACTGGAGGTAAGAGTCTTGTGGACTTTCCTGCCAGGCTGCCTTTGAACCTTGATCCTCAGATCTCAGCCTCCTGAGTAGCTAGGATTACAGGTGTGAGCCACCTGCACCAGCTACCTTGTGCTCTTGCTTAGCTTTGTCAATCTAGGCTGGAGCTTTACCACTTGAGCTACACTTCCTCTTCTGGCTTTTTTTTTGCTGGTTAACTGGAAGTAAGAGTCTCTTGGATTCATCTGCCTAGATGGCTTGGAACCTCAATCCTCAGATCTCAGTCTCTTGAGTAGCTAAAATTATAGGCATGAAATGCTGGTGTCTGGTTGGAATATTTAATTTTGAAGAGAGAGATTTTTTTTTTTGGTTGGTCGTGGGGCTTGAACTCTGGGCTTGGGCGCTATCCTTGCTCTTCAGCTCAAGGCGAGCACTCTACCGCTTGAGCCACAGCGCCACTCCTGGTTTTCTAGTGGTTTATTGGAGATAAGAGTCTCAGAGACTTTCCTGCCTGGGCTGGCTTTGAACCGAGATCCTCAGATCTCAGCCTCCTGAGTAGCTAGGATTACAGGCATGAGCCACTGGCGCCTGGCTTAAGAGATTTTCAATTTTTATTACTTTAGTAATTGGTATGCACTATAGCAAGTCAGGTAACCATTACTCTATGATATTGCTTTGATTAAGTAAGCCAGTGAGCTTTTGGCTGACCCCTATTGCAGAAAATAGTCTGGTAGCCAGGCTCCGGTGGCTCACGCCTGTAATCCTAGCTACTCAGGAGGCTGAGATCTGAAGATCCCAGTTCAAAGCCAGCCCGGGCAGGAAAGTCCATGAGACTCTTATCTCCAATAAACCACTAGAAAACCAGAAGTGGCGGTGTGGCTCAAGTGGTAGAGCACTCACCTTGAGCTGAAGAGGGCAAGGACAGTGCCCAAGCCCAGAGTTCAAGGCCCACAACCGAGAAAGAAAGAAAGAAGGAAAGAAAGAAAAAGAAAGAAAGAAAGAAAGAAAGGAAGAAAGGAAGAAAGAAAGAAAGAAAGAAAGAAAGAAAGAAAGAAAGAAAGAAAGAGAGAGAGAGAGAAAGAGAAAGAGAGAAAGAAAGAGAGAGAGAAAGAGAGAAAGAGAGAAAGAAAGAGAGAGAGAGAGAGAAAGAGAGAGAAAGAGAGAAAGAAAGAGAGGGAGGGAGGGAAGGAAGGAAGGAAGGGCTGGGAAGGTGGCTCAGTGGTAGATCGCTTGCCTTGCATGCCTGAGGCCCTGGGTTCGATTCCTCAGCACCACATAAGCAAAAAGAAAAAAGCCGGAAGTGGCGCTGTGGCTCAAGTGGTAGAGCACTAGCCTTGAGCTGAAGACCTGAGGGACAGCGCCCAAGGCCAGAGTTCAGGCCCCATGACCAGACGAGAGAGAGGGGGGGGGGGGAGAGGGACAGAGGGAGAGAGAGGGAGAGAGGGAGAGAGAGGGAGAGAGAGGGAGAGAGAGGGAGAGAGAGGGAGAGGGAGGGCGAGGGAGGGAGAGGGAGGGAGGGGGGGGGAGAGAGAGAGAGAGAGAGAGAGAGAGAGAGAGAGAGAGAGGGAGGGAGAGAGAGGGGGAGAGAGAGAGAGAGGGGTCTGGTAATAAGGTGAGGAAAATCTATCTACATTTTCTTACTGTTCCCCACAAAACTCTCCTACTATAAACACCAGTATATTCTTATTCTTTCTCTCTCTTTGTCAGTCATGGGGCTTGAACTCAGGGCCTGGGAGATGTCCCTGAACTCTTCTGCTCAAGGCTAGTGCTCTACCATTTTGAGCCACAACACTACTTCCAGTTTTTGAGTAGTTAATTGAAAGTAAGAGTCTCACAGGGACTCTTTTGACTGCACTGGCTTTGAACTGTGATCCTCAAATCTCAGATTCCTGAGTAGTTAGGATTACAAGTAAGAGCCCACCGGCACCCAGCTACCAGTATTTTCTTAAGCAACTAAAATGCACTTTTTTTTCTTTTGTCAGTCATGGGGCTTGAACTCTGGGCCTGAGCTCTGTCCTTCAGCTCTTCAGCTCAAGGCTAACGCTCTCCCAATTGAGCTACAGTGCCACTTCCAGTTTTCTGGTGGTTTACTGGAGATAAGAGTTTCACAGACTTTCCTGCCCGGGCTGGCTTTGAATCTTGATCCTCAGATCTCAGCCACCTGAGTAGCTAAGATTACTGGCGCCCGGCCAAAATGCACTTTTATAATCAGTTAAATACTTGCTTTATTTATTGCAGTCTTGCCATCATCAAGCTCTGAAATAAGGGAAGTTTACCTTTAAAACAATGAGGTATGAATGAAGAATGAATATCGGAAACATAACTTTATAATGATAATACAATAGTTATCTTACATAAAATCTAAGAAGTTTGGGCAAATTATTTCCCTTTTTCCAAAAAATACCTATTTTTATGTAATTTTTCACTTCTTTGACAATATGTTGCTAGATCATGAGGCCTGCTGTTGCTAGCTGTTGCTAATTGGAAGAAAATCTTACACTAGAGAATAGCAGGCACACACAATTATTTCATGTTTTCTCAATTTGGTAACATCATCTCATACTCAAAGGACACTTACCTGCTTTACATTGTATCCTGCTTTTGCACTGGTTTCAATAAACATGACATTCAGTTCTTTGGCTTTTCTTTCTCCCTCCTCAATTGACACTTGCCTGTAGTAAAATGAGTCAAAAGACAGACAAATTCTTACTTTGTAAATATAACCTAAAGGTGGCAAAAAAGTTCTAAAAACAACTTTTGATATAGGTGGCTAGCTATACAGCAAAACACTTTATGCATTTGCAAAACACTTAAAGTTTGTATGATTCTGGGGATGAGTGTGGCTCAAGAGATAGAGATCTTGGGCTGAGAAGGTGGCTCAGTGGTAAAGTGCTTGCCTTGCATGCTTGAGGCCCTGGGTTCAATTCCTCAGCACCCATAAGCAAAAAAAAAAAAAGCCAGAAGTGGTGCTGTGGCTCAAGTAGTAGAGCGCTAGCCTTGAGCTGAAGAGCTGCGGGGCAGCGCCCAGGCCCAGAGTTCAGGCCCACGACTGGACCCAAAATAAAACAAAACAAAACAAAAGAGATAGCGATCTTACCTAGCAAGCATAAGGCACTGGATTTCATCCTTAGTATTACAAAAAATTGTTTTTTAAATCACTTATGTGTGTGTATGTCTGTGTATAGTTATACTTAACTGATTTTTTAAAAAGATTAAAAAAAACTAATTTGCTTTGAGCAAAGAAGGGGTGATATTGTCCAAAAAGAAATGTACTCATTACCTGACTTATGAAATGTTAACCCCTCTGTATATTATCATTATAATAAAATAGAAAATTTAAAATTTTGCTTTTACTTGGCTGAATTCATCCTATAATTGTTTTCACTTTTTAAAAATGTGGGGGCTGGGAAAGTGGCTCAGTGGAAGAGGATTTGCCTCACATGCATGAGGCCCTGGGTTTGATTCCTCAGCATCACATAAACAAAAAGCCAGATGTGTTGCTGTGGTTCAAGTGGCAGAGCACTAGCCTTGAGCTGAAGAGTGCAGGGAGAGTGCTCAGGCCCAGAGTTAAGCCCTTACTGACAAAAAAAAAGAATGTGTTTAAAACTTTGTAGCAATGTAGCTCAGTAATAGAATACTTGCCTAACGCGCACAAAATTCTGCATTTAATCCTCAGAATTGCAACCCACACCCAAAACACTTAATTGTCTGTATTTTCCTTTATGTTAAATCATATGCATTTAGCCTTGTAACTGAACTCTCCTCTCTCTCTCTCTCTGAGCTTTACGGTTCAAAGCTAGCATTCTGCCACTTGAGCCACATCTCCACTCTGGCTTTTTGGTGATTAACTGGAAATTAAAGAGTCTCAAGGACTTTCCTGCCCAGGTGGCTTTGAACTGGAATCCTCAGATCTTGAATAGGTAGGTTACAGGCATGAACTACTGGCACCTGGCTGTGTAAAATAATCTCATTGCTAGACACCACCAAAATGTATAAAACTACTACACAACTGTTAAAAATACAATTGTTTTCAAATTTTAGACTACTGTGAAAAATACTGCTCTAAACATCTTTGTGCTTAATATTTTGTGTACTGTGGGTCATTTTCATTAGGCTGGATTTGTGGATTTCTGTAATTGAACAAGTTGGTAAAAGGCATGAATGATAAAACCTTTTAATATAAAATGATACTTTTACAGTGTATATAATTAGCAGTGTTTCAAATAGAGAGTTGTTCAAGTATTAGATTATCTCCTTTACTCTGACATTCTTCGTACCTTGTTGGCATATAGGTACTCAATAAATATGTAAATGTTCTAATTAAACAGATCTTAACTGACAAAAATCTTTCTACAACACAGAAAATAGCAATGGAGGAAAATTTTCATAAGCTTCCATCACATTTATCTACCATTTTACCTGTGTGTCCTTATATTCTACTGTAGTTCAATTACTATGGAGTAACTGTCCTTACTCCCAATACTTACAACTTGTGTACTAGATTCCATTACCCTCTTGTCTCCAAGAAGGTATTATTGTAGGGGGTAGAGGCATGATTCAAGTGGTAGAGCATCTGCCTAGCAAACACATAGCCCTGAGTTCAATCCTCAGTTCCACAAAAAAAATTAAGATTATGATTCTGTAAATTCTCCATGCTCTAAAAACAAGGGTATTATTACCTAACATCTCAACGTTTAGGATTTTACTACATTAAATTGTTTTTTTGTTTTTTTTTGTCGGCCGTGGGGCTTGAACTCTGGGCCTGGGCGCTATCCCTCAGCTCTTCAGCTCAAGGCGAGCGCTCTACCACTTGAGCTACAGCGCCACTTCTGGTTTTTTTTTCTGGTGGTTTATTGGAGATAGGAGTCTCACGGTCTCTCCTGCCCAGGCTGGCTTTGAACCGCGATCCTCAGAGCTCAGCCTCCTGAGTAGCTAGGATTACAGGCGTGAGCCACCAGTGCCCGGCTACATTAAATTGTTTTGTTCTCTCATTCTCTCTATATTTGTACGTATAAATAGAAATACTTAGAAAAATAATCTGAGGATTGTGGTTCAAAGCCAGCCCAGGCAGGAAAGTTCATGGGACTCATTTCTAATTAACCACCAGAAAACTGGAAGTGGTGCTGTGGCTCAAGTGGTAGAGCGATAGCCTTGAGCTGAAGAGCTGAGGGATAGCGCCCAGGCCCAGAATTCAAGCCCCCTGACTGACAGGCTCATAGACTCTTGCTCTGGCTGGCTTCTGTGATCCTCATATCTCAGCCTCTTATGTAGTTAGGATTACAGCATGAGCCACCAGCACCTAGCTAATTTTTGAAAAACACTTAATAGTGTGAGAGTAGATTGCCAATATATAGACATTAGTCCCAAATACCTCAGTACTATGAATTTCCTAATAAATAATGACTTTCTTAGTATCAATATCATACAATCATTAAATCTACAGATTTTATTCAGGTTCTGCCAACTGTTGTTTATAGCAACTACTTTTCTAAACAGAATTTTCTCAACTATTTAGTTATCTTGTCATAATTATTGGGGAGGTGTGAGAACAGGAATGAGAAGGAGGAATGATTTAAACATATGACAGTAATTGTTCATCATCAAATTTGCCTATTTTTTAACTAGAGCTTCTTCGAGTTGGTTTATCAAGTCTATTACCTAATAATCTTTTTTTTTTTTTTTTTTTGGTTGGCTGTGGGGCTTGAACTCTGGGCCTGGGCGCTGTCCCTCAGCTCTTCAGCTCAAGGCGAGAGCTCTACCACTTGAGCTACAGCGCCACTTCCGGTTTTCTGGTGGTTTATTGGAGATAGGAGTTTCACGGTCTCTCCTGCCCGGGCTGGCTTTGAACCTCGATCCTCAAATCTCAGCCTCCTGAGTAGCTAGGATTACAGGCATGAGCCACCAGCGCTCGGCTTTACTTAATAATCTTCAATGGCTTCTGTAATTTAAATATAACAGAATATTTCTTCAAATAACCCTGCCTACCTTCCCACCCCTGGGGAAAAAAGTGTGTTTTTAGACTACTTTGAGTAGTTTCATTCATTCATTTTGGTGCCAGTACTAGTACTGAATTTGAGGCATAACTACTCTCCCTTAACTTTTTCACTCAGGCTGGAATTTTAGTTCTCGAGCCACATCTCCACTTCCAGCTTTTTGGTAGATAACTGGCGATAAGAGTCACATGGACTTTCCTATTCAAGCTCGCTTTAAACTGGGATTTTCAGATCACATGGACTTTCCTATTCAAGCTCGCTTTAAACTGGGATTTTCAGATCTCAGCTTCTTGAATAGCTAGGATTACAGGAATGATTTACTGTGGTGGTCAGGTCTGACTTATACCATAGAAACAGCTTTTTATTTTATTTTTATTTGTGGATGGTTAGCTTGTTTACTTAAGTCTTTACATATTCTAAATAATGTTACAGCAAACAGGCTTGTAATATGTAGTTTATATTATGTGTATGTGTGCGCATGCATGCGTGCATGTGTGTGTGTATGTGTCTACACTGTCCTGAGGGTTGAATTCAGGGGCTGTCCCTAAGTTTGTTTTTTCTTGAGGCTAATGTTCTACCATTTAAGCCACAGTTCCACTTCCAGCTTTTTGGTGGCTAACTGGAGATGATCCTTAGATCTCAGCCTCCTGAGTATCTAGGATTACAGATATGCGCCAACTATGCCTAGTACAAACTATGCATAGTTTGTATTCTTAACAATGTATCTTGGAGAGATACAAGTTAGATGTTAGAGAGGGGAAAAAACAACTCTGTTTCTTATTGTGTTTATATCACTCTATGTTGGCCCAGTTGTCTATGAGTATACATTCCCCTGCAGTCTTGCTAACAGAGAAGTTCACCAAACTTGAAATCTTGGCATCTGAAAAGAAAAAATGTTTGTCTATGTAGTTTCAAATCATATAGTTTTGAGATTTGAACTCAGGCTTTGAAATTGATAGTTGGGTACTCTATCATTTAAGCCAGACCCAGTCCTAGTTTGTATTTCTCTCAGTAAGAGGAAGATTGTTTTATATATATAATTTAGAGCTAAATATTCCCTCTATGAACTGTGAATATTTCTATTTTTCTACAGTGCTATTTTTCTTTTTAGAAGTCTTTTATTACCTATTAGATACTTCTTATATAATTTACAGATACTTTTTCCTAGTTTGCCACTTACTTCATGGTGTTTTCATATAACTGCATTTTATTAACATTTGCACTTATTTTCTGTCATGGTATTAGCATTATAAAGCATTAGAATTTGGTCCCATACTTTTTTTTTTTTTACATTTAAATCTGGTTTGTGAAATCTGTTCCGGTAGGAGGACTTGAACCAATTTTATCTTTTCCTATAGGTTAGTTATCCCAATCCATTTACTTACTTTCCATATGCAAATAAATGTATTTCCAGATTTTCTATTCAGCTCCATATACTAGTAACGCTGCCAGATCTTGTTTAAGTATAGGCTTTATAAATATTTTAATACATGAAATGGCCAAATGCCCATCTGAATTTTTTTTTCAAGTCTAGCTTTAGGAAAAAATAGCTAGTGGCATCTGATTATTGGATGTGTTCAATTAGAAATAAATTTGCGAAGCCAGGTGCTAATGGCTCATGCCTGTAATCCTAGCTACTCAGGAGGCTGAGATCTGAGGATCACAGTTCAAAGACAGCCTGGGGAGGAAAGTCTGAGACTCTTATCTCCAATTAACCACCAGAGAACTGGAAGTGGCAGGGTGGCTCAAAGTGGTAGAGCGCTAGCCTTGAGCAAAAAGAAGCTCAAGGACAGTGCCCAGGCCAGAAAATTAACATCTTTATATTAAGTGTTTCTATCCAAGGGCAGAATATGTCTGTGTATATGTTCAAATCTGTATTATTTCCTTAGTGTTTCTGTTTTCCTAGTATAGATTTGAATAGTATGTCAGTTTTACCTGAACTCTTTTAGCATGTTTGTTTGCTGTTAGAAGTAAGATTGCTGGGCACTGTTGGCTCATACCTGAAGATCATGGTTCAAAGCCAGTCCAGGGAGCAGTTTGTAAGACTCTTGTCTCTAATTAGTGACCAAACAGCTAGAAGTGGAGCTATGGTTAACTGGTAAAGTGTTAGCCTTGAGAACAAAAGCACAGGGACAACACCCAGTTCCTGGATTCAGGCCTCAGGACAGGAACCAAAAATCTCCAAATTTCTAATTTTGGTAACTAATTCTTACTCTTCATTTAATTTTACCTGAAAAGGGATTTGCATAGTTTATCTATCTCTCTTTCCCTTTCCACCCTTTTTTTTTTGGTCGGTCATGGGGCTTGAACTCTGGGCTTGGCTGCTGTCCCTGCACTCTTCAGCTCAAAGCTAGTGTTCTACAGTTTGAGCCACAGCACAACTTCCGGTTTTCTAGTGGTTTATTGAAGATAAGAGTCTCACGGAATTTCCTGCCCCAGCTGGCTTTGAACTGTGATCCTCATATCTCAGCCTCCTGAGTAGCTAGGATTACAGGCATGAGCCACCAGCGCCTGGCTCCCTTTCCACCCTTAACATATCATATGCTCGCTGCAGTACTGGGGCTTGAGTTCAGGGCCTCATCCTTACTAGGCAGGCATTCTACCACTTCAGTTATGCCTATAATTCATCATTAACTTCTCTTTAAAACATTTTCAACTTCCTCTAGAATATTTTACCCTTCCCAATATTTCTCCTACTTTTGTGGCCTTCTTTTCTTCCTTTGTTCAGGCAGTTCTTCCACATTTCCTTAACTTTTAAATTTATGGCTCTCAACCAGGAACAAAATTTTGGCTGTCACAACCTGATGTGTATGTGCCACTCAAATCTAATAGGTATAAGCCAGTGATGATGCTAAATATCCTATAATGCAAAGAACAGTCCCCACAAGGAAAGAACCACCTAAAATGTCAATAGTACTAAGGTTGAAAAATGCTGTTTTAAATACCTGATGCTTTAAAATGCATTCTTTAGTCTTCTCTTCCCTGCAACCACTTCCCTAGTGATCTCTTGAAGTTTCATGACCTATATAGCCTCTGACTCTGAAACTTACATAACTATTTCTGGGTTTTTTGTTTGTTTTTTGTTTTTTTTTAGTAATGAGGCTTGAACTTAGGGCCTCAGGCACTCCGTCAGCTTTTTTGTTCAAGGCTGGCTCTCTACCATTTGAAACTATACCTCTGCTTCTGGCATTTGGTGGTTAACTGGAGATAAAAGTTTCATGAACTTGTCTACCTGGGCTTTAAACTGAAATCCTCAAAGTTGTTCTCAGCCTCCACAGTAGCTAGGATTATAGGCACAAGCCTCTATCTCTGGCATGAAATTTACATGCTTATTGCTCTCAATCCCAGATTCATATTTTACTGCTATACTCAGCCATCTATAGTTATTCTAAACTTAATATTACAGTCTTATTAGGCAATCTTGTTTATCTTATTTACTCAGGCCAAAAATCTGGGTATATCCCCCTTGACTACTTCTTTTCTCACACCCTACATACAATCTATCCACCAATCTGTATTCCATTCATTTCATCTTTATATCCTAACAGCTCTATCTTAAAAAAAAAACACAAAAACTGAATTTAATCACTTATTATATAAACTACTGTTTTCCTGGGTAGTTAACATCATTTTTTTACAGTCTAAATTACTTTCCTCACTGATTCTATAACTTCTCTACATGGAAAGTTATTCCTCTACTCAAACCCTCTAATCTCATTTAAAAGAAGTCTCCTACTTTTTCCTTGTGTGATCTGGTCTTAACATCTGTAAAGAAAAATCTTATTGTTAAACTCTTTCTATTATCCTCTTTACAGAGCTCTATGTGGATTTTTTTTTTTTAAACAGGTCCTGAGGCTTGAACACTGGGTCTAGGTGCTTTCCCTGAGCTCCTTTTGCTCAAGACTAGTACTCTACCACTTGAGCAACAGCCCTACTTCCAGTCTTTTCCGTGATTTAATTGGAGATAAGAGTCTCACAGACTTTCCTGCTCAGGATGGCTTCAAACTGCAGATTTCAGCCTCCTCAGTAACTAGGATTATAGGTGTGAACCAACAGTACCCAGTGATAGTGGATTTCTGAATTAAGGATTTTCCATCTTCTGAATCTATTGTCTAGAATTACTTCTTCCTTCAAGATGCAGTTATTCCCCTCTACACAGCTGACTCCCTTACTTCCTTTGCATCTTTACTTGAAAGTTACTAGTCACCTTCTCAAAGAGATCTTCACTGTTAACCTATCTAAAATTTCAAACCTACCCCTGACATTTCATGTCCTCTTTCCCCTGCTTTATTTTTCATCTTACCATTTAACATCATCATTTAATAACCTATGTATTGACTTTTGTTTTTTGAGAATGGGTTTTGCTATGTTGTCTAAACTGACCTCAAACTCATGTTTCTTTTGTTTCAGTCTCAAAAATAGCTTAGATTATAGGTCTATATTGCTGAACCTGGCTAGATTTGTCTAGATCATTTTCTTTCTTTCTTTTTTTTTTTTTGGGGGGGGTGTTGGTCATGGACCTGAACTCTGGGCCTGGGAGCTGTCCCTCAGCTCTTCAGCTCAAGGCTAGTCCTCTACCACTTACTTGAGCCACAGTGCCACTTCTGTTTTTTCTGCTTATGTGGTGCTGAGGAATCGAACCCAGGGCCTCATGCATGCAAGGGAAGGACTCTACCACTGAGCCACCTTCCCAGCCCCTAGATCATTTTATTAAATAAAAGCTTTCTGAAGTTTTTGGAAGATGATTTGTCCTTTTTGTGTAATACTCTATGTTACAGAGGAGCACCTGAGACATAGTAATTTCAATAAATATTTCATAAATGAACGAACACTGGTCTAAAAATTCTACCAATGAAGAAGTCTAGGTGGAAATCCTTTTGGGTTTAGAATCTTGAGTTTATTCACTAGACTAACTATATGTCCTCCTAATTATTAAAGTGAGTTATGGTAATTGGCCCAAATGTGGTCTGTGTCAGAGCCATTTAGGAAGACCTTTATATATCCAAGTGCCCCACCCAAGACAATACTAAATCATTGTATCTACAGGTAGAACCAAATATCAAAAGCTTTAAAAAATATTCATGTGGGGCTGGGAATGTGGCTTAGTGGTAGAGTGCTTGCCTAGCATACATGAAGCCCTGGTTTTGATTCCTCAGTACTACATAAACAGAAAAGGCCAGAAGTGGTGCTATGGCTCAAGTGGTAGAGTGCTATTGAGCAAATGGATCTCAGGGATAGTGCCCAGGCCCTGAGTTCAAGCTCTAAGACTGGCAAAAACAAAGAAACAAACAAAACACCCCCCACAAAGAATGTTAAAAGCAGGCCAGCCATTTGTGGCTCATGTCTGTAATCCTAGCTACTCAGAAGGATCGCAGTTCGAAACCAGCCTGGGCAGAAAAGTCCTTTATGAGACTCTTACCTCCAATTAACCACTCAAAACTTGGAAGTAAAGCTGTGGCTCAAAGTGGTAGAGTGCTAGCTTTGAACAAAAAGAACTCAGGGACAACAGCCGAATTCAAGCCCCACAAGTAACAGAAAGAAGAAAAAAAAAAAGCAAGTATTTAAACCAAGGATTCTACAGTGAATATTAAGACTTTTTTACATTATATGACTTGAATATGGCTTTGCTCATTTTACTAAAGTATCACAATCAAGCTATTCAGTTCAGCCACAGAGGTTGATTCAACTATACAATTTTAAACACAAACACACCACCACCACCACCATCAAACATGGTAAAACTACCCCAAAAAACTCTGAGTATAAACATTAAAATTTTAATGCTTAACTGGCTTCAGGTATAAATATTCTCACATAGGAGTTATTTGTTCATGGGTTTACATGAAATAAAAGTAATTTTTTCTTAAGAAATTAATTGAGTTGGGCACCAGTGGCTCACACTTGTAATACTGCTACTCAGGAGGCTAAGATCTGAGGATTGTGGTTCAAAGTCAGGCAGGAAAGTCTGTAAGACTCTTATGTCCAATTAACCACCAGAAAACTGGAAACTGCATGATTGGCTCAAAGTGGTAGAGTGCTAACTTGAGTAAAAGACCTCAGGGATGGTACCCAGGCCTTGAGTTCAAGCCCCATGATCAACAACAAAAAAAGAACTGAGGTGAATGTGTATGCTTGTTTAGATTCACACAGTAAAGGCTTGTGTAAACTAAGGGATTAAATATGTCTCTTTTCAAAATTTCTTTAGTAAACAAAACTGAGCTAATTCTTAACACAGTAATCAAAATACCAAAAATCACTCCATACCTCTTGTCAGCAAGATCTGTTTTATTTCCTACTAGCATGATGATAACATCACTTCCTCTTTCTGTTCTGACATCATCAATCCACTTTGTAGTTTGCTGGAATGAGTTAACATCTGGTATAGGAGGATGGACAGAGGAATTAATGTTACTGAAAATGTCTCCTCGAGTAAAGGACACCACTCTCCCACAATCCCCTGGAAGTTGAAAGGGGGACAGCACATTAAGAACCCACTTTTAATGTGCCTACAACATAACTCCATTTTATCTGATTGCAACTGTCAAGTGATATAAACAAATCTATATTTTAAAAATCCTCAAGGTTCATTTTAATGTAAATTTTTTGACAAAAACCAAATGAATACAATGTACTATATATAGTTGGAAAAATTCTAAAAATTTGAGGGGCTGAGAATGTGGCTTAGTGGCAGAGTGCTTGCCCAGCATGCATGAAGCCCTGGGTTTGATTCCTCAGTACCACCTAAACAGAAAAAGCCAGAGGTGGCCCTGGAGCTCAAGTGGTAGAGCACAGAGAGGCTCAGGCACAGCACCCAGGCCCTAAGTTCAAGCCCTAGGACTGGTCCAAAAAAAGAAAAAAAGAAAAGAAAAGAAAAACACTTTGAAATCTAAGGACAGGGGATGGGATCCAGGATAGTGGACTAGAGACAGGACAATACCAGAGCTCTATCTGCTCATTCAGAAATACAAAGCTCTAACCCAGAATTCCAGCTTGAGAGTGGACACCAGGGAGAGGCAGGCAGTCAGGGCCTAATGCCAATCTAAAAACATCAAACTTATAACTCAGAAAGAGGATAAAAATTGACAAAACAAGTCCACATAACCAGGTCCCAGCCCAGCCCACTGGGCCACAGCCTGCAGCTCTGTGTAGATTGCTGTTGTCTACACAGCGATGGGCCCTATTCAGAATGAAATCTAAGGACAGTTATGACAGATAATATGGTGTTACATTGCCACAATGCTTTTTTTGATCACTTATACATATCAAATATGACAAAGAAAGCATTTCCAAAAGTATGACAGCCAGTAAGTCCCAACACAACCAGAAAATTTGAAAGCCTTTAAACAACTTTCAATACCACTGTGTTTGCATTGCTTATGCAGTTTGTGATCACTTCAACTTAGTTTGTTTCAATACTTAGTTCTAACAAACTTCATCTTTTCTAAGATTGGATTCTAAGGATATTTTTTAAGTAGATATTGAAACAATGCACTAATATTGTAAGGAAAATACAAATTTCACTCGCTTTCGTTAAAGTAAGCACAAACCTTTTAAAGCTACAAAACTGGTCAATGCACAATAATAAACACATAAAAAAAGTAGCAACCCAAAGTAAAGCTGCAAGAGAAGAATGACTGCATATAGCTCCTATTCAAAATAAGAAAGAAAAATTCTCAAATGCAATCTTTTAACTTCTAATTTTGCCACTGCAATTACTGTTACGTAGCTATGACCTCTGATTGAGCAAATACACAAAAATTTCTAGCAATAATATTACTAGCTCAAAGAAGTCCAAGATGTTATATATCTGTTTTCTTATTAATTATGGGACACTATGGAATGATGTTTAAAATTGTGTGTGTGTGTGTATGTGTGTGTGTATAATAAACCAATCTATAAAGACAATTTCAATCAGAGAGCACCAACTGTTAGTCACCAATGCTCCACAGAAAATTCAGTCACTTAAAAGATGAAAGGCATTATTAAGTCTTTGGGAAAAAGAAAAAGACCATTACTTGTTTCATTTCCCATTTTAAATTTTTCTTAGAAATAAAGTGTAATGTGTTAGCAACAAACTAAGTCAGTCACAGAATCCAGATATGATTCAAATAAATACGATTAATAAAAAAGTGCACGCTATGGTTCTCTGTCTTCCTCTATAGAGAGAGAATGGCTAGAATAGGGAAGCAGAGAAAAGCTGGCTAGTAGAAGCTTTTAATAGCCTCAACAGAATCCATGGAGAATTTGGAAAACTTGGTAAGAGTTAAATGCAGGTTATTTTAGAGAAATCTCAGATCAGATCAAATTAAATGAAAAAAATATTCCTTTAGTCATAATAATTATGAGATAGCTTACGGATAACAGAATAGTAAGAAAGTCTTGAAAAGGATTCATAATTGGACCTGAAAGACAATTTCTGGGGTGAAAAACCTGCATCATAGAAATAAGCCAAATATTGATATACTTCTGACCCGGTTGGTCTGTGATAAAGTTTACTATGATAAAACTTATTTTTACATGCCAGTAAGGAAAACAAGCACAAGACAAGAACATGCAGCTAAGCTAAAAGTTGAAAGGAGATTAGAGATGCATAATTCCCCCCCCCCCACTCACTTGTGATATCATAAACAACAACTGCCACAGTGGAGTCACGAATGTAGCTAGGAATCAAGCTCCTGAACCGCTCTTGACCTGCAGTGTCCCATAATTGCAACCGTACCTAACAACAAAATCAGTCAAACAAGCAAAAAAATAAGAAAGGTCAACCCATTACAATATACCTACTTGTGATATCGTAAACTACTACAGCTGCAGCAGAATCACGGATGTAACTGGGAATGAGGCTACGGAAACGTTCCTGACCCGCAGTATCCCACAGCTGCAGCCTGATCTGTGGGATGGGAAAAAACAAATAAAAAAAAAAAAAAAACAAAACCAAAAAAACAAACAATAAAAAAACCCTAATGCTTAAAAAAAAAAAAAAAAAACTAAATAAAAGAGAGACAATGTCCTTTGTAAAGGAGAAAGATGAGTAGTAGGAAGACAACTCAAGTAAAAGGTTTGCAGGGAAGGATGAAAATTACTCTTTTCAATGGATGAAAAACTCTTTTTTTTTTTGGGTCCGGTCATGGGGTCTGAACTCTGGGCCTGGGTGCTGTCCCTCAGCTCTTCAGCTCAAGGTTAGCGCTCTACCACTTGAGCCACAACGCCACTTCCAGCTTTTTTCTTTTTGCTTATGTGGTGCTGAGGAATCGAACCCAGGGCCTCAGGCATGCAAGGCAAGCGCTCTACCACTGAGCCACCTTCCCAGCCCCAAAAAACTCTTTTCAAAAGGAAACAATATTAAAAATTTGCTTGCCCTGAAGGTAAATGACTGAAAAATGTTATTGTAAAAGATTTCAGAAAATCAGAAACAGGGTTACTTTTTTCTCCTTGTAACTACTTTGAATCCATGTCTTCCAGAAGACAAAAAGCAGACTCTTGATATTCACACACTGAGCAAGGAACTAAGGTAAATCAGAATAAAGATATTAATATTTCTTTTTTCTGTCAGTCATGGGGCTTGAACTCAAGGCCTGGGTGCTGTCCCGGAGTTTTTTCCTTCAAGGCTAGTGCTCTACCACTTTGAGCCACAGCGTCACTTCCAATTTTTCTGGTGGTTAAGTGGAGATAAGAGACTCATGAACTTTTCTGCCTGGGCTGATTGTGAACCCCAATCCTCAGATCTCAGCCTCTTTAGTAGCTTGGATTACAGGCGTGAGCCACTGATGAGGACTAGGAATATTTCTTTGAAAACCTCTCTGAAGCTAAAATCAGTCTTCTTTGTTGGTCATTGACTACTATGTTTATGTTTCTATTAAAATTTTCTTCCTGAACATAATAGATAATACAACAAAATGTGAAAATATTTTTTGTAATCTTACACAAATTTCACATATCACATGACAGAACAAAACCTGAAAACAAGTATCAAGTTCTCTTACCATTGTAAAGCAGTTTCCATACTTTAAGAAATGGTAGTACATATGAAAACAAAATATGTATTTAAAAATTCACACATTTAAGAAATAAATTTGGAAATATAATGGTGCCTTTTGGGTACAGGTTCCAAAAGAATACATTTAAATTATTTACTGTTTATGTGACAGAAATCTCTTCAAGGAGTAATGCAATTGAATACAGAATTAATTTAAAGTTAACACTCAAAATGATAAAAATAAAAGCACACTTTCTCCACTTATTAACATTGGCACAAATCCTATTCTGACAAATATTTGAATTCACAAATATATAACTATATATTTGAATTCACAAATATATAATATTCAAATAAAATGTTCCTTTTTGGTGTTGCTAATGTTTAAACCCACAGATCAGATCAAATTAAATGAGAAAGTAGATATTCCTTTAGTCATAATAATTATGAGATAGCTTATGGATAATAGAATATTAAGAAAGTCTTGAAAAGGATTCATAATTAGACCTGATAAGACAATTTGGGGGGGAGGGGGGAGGGAACCTGGCATCGTAGAAATAAAGCCAAATATTGATATCCTTCTGCACTTACTAGGTAGATGGGGGGGGGGGGGAACTTGGCATCATAGAAATAAAGTCAAATATTGATATCCTTCTGCACTTACTAGGCAGATGTCCTAACCCACTCATATCCCCTCACCCAAATGAAGTCTTTCAAACTGCATCAAGAACAGCACTCAAAAGATTTTTAATGTAGTTCTAATTTCTTCATGAAAATTTTTAAAATTTAACTTTTAAACTTATCTGTTGTCATTTTTCCAAATCATGGTGGTAAGTTTTGTTTAACAAAACAAGAGACATCAGGATTTTAGTAAAAAAAAAAAAAAAAAAAACACAAACCCTTGGCTTTCTCTCCCACTTTGGACCTCACTTAGAGATTAAAAATAATAATAATAATAATAGTACTAAGAACAAGTAACTTACTCTGCAATAACAGTTTTCCAAAAGATCTAACTTCAGTAACAAAAAACGTACTTCTGAAGATGACAATCATGGATTATAGCTTTGACCAGTTTTTGAACCTGAATTATTGCATAAAATTGTACACCAAAATATTACTCACTGTTCGATCCTCTAAGTACATTGTTTTTGATAAAAAGTCAATGCCAATAGTTGCCTGTAGAATGAAACAAAATAGGAGTTAACAAAAATAATAGTTTTATGATAGCCACAAGTTTAGAGTACAAATGGGATTTATGAATATGGAAGAAATAATGAATGAATACATATACATAGTCAAGTAAAAATGACAATATTTTCAGTGATAATGGCTTTGATGTACTAAACACTTGCTATTCCATGTTAGAAATTGTTTCAGGATCTTTACTTGATCATATGTGAATTGTAACTACAACATTCCTAAAGGGTAACCTTTTCCCCCTAAAGGGTAAATTATTTTCATCCCTGTTTTTCTCTTTTTTTTTTTTTTTTTTTTTTGGGGGTCCTGTTGTGGAGCCTGAACTCTGGGCCTGGGCGCTGTCCCTCAGCTCTTCAGCTCAAGGCTAGCGCTCTACCATTTGAGCCACAGCGCCACTTCTGGCTTTTTTCGTTTTGCTTATGTGGTACTAAGAAATCGAACCCAGGGCCTCTGGCATGCAAGGTAAGCGCTCTACCACTGAGCCACCTTTCCCAGCCCCCCTGTTTTTCTCATTTTGCAGATAACAAGACAATGAGATATACAGTTTACATATTTGTATCTGAATATTGAAATTTTGTGTTTTTTTAGATTTCTCAGTGCTTCCCAGTCAGAATGGTTTTAGTTGCTCAGTAACAATTTTATAAATATTGCTGATGCAAACTGTTATTCTGTCTAGGTCACTTGTCCTAGTGTTTATTGGACATAAGTCTCAAGGACTTTCCTGCCTGGGCTAGCTTTGAATCATGATTCTCAGATCTCAGCCTCCTGAGTAGCCACTGGCTACTCAGGCGTGAGCCACTGGTGCCTAGCTATCCCCATTATCTTTTCACATGATGGGTTTAATGTTGATTGATAGGAGTTACCTAAATCAATTATCTCATTTGATATACAAAAAGTCAATTTTCTATCAGGCATTGGTGGTCCATGCTGGTAATCCTAGCTACTCAGGAGGCCGAGATCTGAGTATCACTATTCAAACCAGCCCAGGCAGCAAAGTCTGTGAGACTCTTATCTCCAATTAACCAGCAAAAAGCCAGAAATGGAGCTGTGGCAAATGGCACAAGACAGTACCTAGGCCTTGAATTTTGGCAAAAGATTGAGTTCTGGCCCCAGGACTGGAAGAAGAAGAGAAGAAAGAAGGAGGAGGAGGAACAAGAAGGAAGAAGAAAGAAGAAGGAGGAAGAAGAGGAAGAAGGAGGAGGAGGAAGGAGGAAGAGAAGGGAGGAGGAGGAGGGAGGAGAAAGGAAGAGGAAGGAGGAGGAGGAGGAGAAAGAGGAAGAGAAGGAGGATGAAGGAAGGAAGAAGAGGAGGAGGAGGAAGAGGAGAAAGAGGAGGAGGAGGAGGAGGAGGAAGAGTTTACTAAATAAAACTCTACACAGAATTTACCAAGCTGAGTTATTTGGCTATCCCAAAGGACACTTTTCACAAGAAAAGGTTGGACAGATACATCTTTCCTGTTAATTCTTAATTTCAGAATAAGTAGAATGATTAGCTATCACTCAGTGCAAATGAGATTCTCATTTTGGCTTCTTCCAACAGAGAATTTTGCAAAATTGATGGACTATATCCATTTTCATAATGGAGTCTTTTAAAGTCTAAGAGTTTTAATAAAGTTCAATTTACCAATTCCTTTCTTTAAGGATCATGTTTTTGAATTTTTTTTTCCAGCCCAAATCTTATTTGTATTTTATGTTTTAGGTCTTTATGAGAATCCAGGAAAGAGAACACTAAAGGGAAGGAAAGAACAGGGAAGGGCTGACTAAGGAAGAAGAGTTAAAGAGAGTAGCTGGGCAGGGCCAAGAGTTAGCTTGAAAGCCATAAGATGGGTAGGGCTTCCTGAAGCAAACTTGGCAGGTTCTCTAGCTGTTCGGCCTACTTATTTCATGGAACATATTTCCTTCCCAGAGAAGGCAATCAATTCTCCCCAAATTCATAATCTCTAGCCTCATACTACCTCCAACTTATATAAAGCTCAATGAGGGTAAAATTAAGGACAAATCTCTCTCAAAAAAAATTTCTTTTCATTTTACATGCTTTTGATTTTATGTAAAAAATTATTTTTAAGTCAAGAGCACAAAGATGTTTTCCTTTAAAATTTCTTCTAAAAATCCTAATATTTAAGATTATAATCTACTTTTAATTTTTGTATATGGAATAAAAAGCCTAAATTTATATTTTCACAAGTGGATATCCAATTTGTCTAACATCATAAAAAAGGACTGCTTTTAACTGAATTGATTTGGCATTTTTATCAAAATCAACTTCATAAATGTAGAATTTAGCTGTGTTTTCTTTTTGTATTCAGCTCAATATTTTCTAATTTCCCTTGTGATTTAATCCTTCACATTCATTATTTAGAAGTGAATTACAGAATTCTACCTACTTGTGAATTTCCCAAATTTGATTATGCTAGTAATTTCTAATTTCATTACTCATTTATTCTTGACTTCAAGTGTAGATCAAAATATTAAAGAAAACAACACCTGTAGGTATTCTTTATGAGGGAATATTTTTTTATTACTTCTAATTCCCTACCTGATGATTTTTTTTGGGGGGGAGGGGGGGTTGGTCGAGAGGCTTGAACTCTGGGCCTGGGCACTGTCCCTCAGCTCTTCAGCTCAAAGCTAGTGCTCTACCACTTGAGCCACAGCGCCACCTCCAGTTTTCTGAGTGGTTTATTGGAGAAAAGAGTCTCACAGACTTTCCTGCCCAGACTGGCTTTGTCAGATCTCAGCCTCCAGAGTAGCTAGGATTATAGGCTTGAGCCACTGGCACCTGGCACCTGATAATTTTAAAGAATCTTTCAATAGAGTTTGAAAGACAACAAAATTGAGTAAGACTGAAGATCAATGGGTAAAAATCATTTCTACTAAGTATTGTACAGCATTTTACAGATATTATAATCTTGTTCTTATATCCATTACTACAGGTATATAAGCTTTTTAAATACTTGGAGAATTATTTGTAACAAAACACAACTAATAACTTGGCAACAACAAAATACCTGATAGGTGTTGTCAAAACTGTCATACATGAATCTGGTGATCAAAGATGTCTTTCCAACTGAAATGAAAAGAAAAAGAGATTTGCTCAGTGAAAAATGTCACTGGGTTCTTAGGCAATTCTACAGAAAATTTAAAACTAAATGCAATAGAAAAATATCTGCAGGGGGGCGGGGGAAGGCTGGGAAGGGATGGGAAGGGGAAACAAAGGAGGAGGCTACAATGCTTGATAAGAAATGTACTCATTATCTTGCCCATCTAATTGTAACCGCTCTATACAGTATTTTCACAATAAAAAATAAATAAAAAAAGAAAACTGAAAAAAAAAATATCTGCAGTGGTAATTAAAAATTATCTAGCACCAAGTTTGCCAACTTAATTTTTTCTAAACACACACAATAATATCTTGAGATTAATAAGAATACAGGTAAAGTAGTTAAGAGCTATGTTGGTTGCTTACACCTGTAATCAGAAGGCTGAGACTGAGGATCATAGTTCAAGGCCAGTTTGGGCAAGAAGGTCTATGTGACTCTTACTTTCAATTAAGCACCAAAAAAGCCAGAAGTAGAGCTATGGCTCAAGTGGTAGAGTACTAGCTTTGAACAAAACAAAACTCAGGACAGCTCCTAGGTCCTGAGTTCAAGCCCCAGGATTGACTGATTCTCCCCCCCATTCTGCGCTCTCTCTCTCTCTCTCTCTCTCTCTCTCTCTCTCTCTCACACACACACACACACACAAATTGAGGAAAATAAAGACCGAATAGAGGAAAACAAATATATTGATTCACAAGAGGACAAGCAGACACTTATTTGGACCCTGACAAAAGAGAGGAATGAAGGGAACAATCATTTAAAGCACTAGGTTACAGCCAGGCACTGGTAGCTCACACCGGTATTCCTAGCTACTCAGGAGGCTGCGATTTTGAGGATTGCTATTCAAAGCCAGCCAGAGCAAGAAAATCCATGAACTCTTGTCTCCAATTAACCACCAAAAAAAAGCAAAGTGGTAGAGTGCTAACCCTGAGCAAAAGGACTCAGAGACAGTGCCCAAGCCCTGAGTTCAAGCTCCACAATGGACAACAAAAACAAACAAAAAATCCTAGACTAGGGCTGGGAAGGTGGCTCAGTGGTAGAGCGCTTGCCTTGCATGCCTGAGGCCCTGAGTTCGATTCCTCAGCACCACATAAACAAAAAGAAAAAAGCCGGAGTGGCGCTGTGGCTCAAGTGGTAGAGCGCTAGCCTTGAGCTGAAGAGCTGAGGGACAGTGCCCAGGCTAAGAGAGATGTGAGAGGTTGTTTACAAACTTACTGCAGAATCAGATCAGATCTTTTCAATTGTCTGTCTCAAAGATCAATAATTTTATTTATCAGTGTTTTTAGGGAAATAAGCAAAAGGTCAAAAATAAACACTTGTAATTTCCTTACTAATGAATACATTCCCAAAAGCAAATATATTATATCTAATTATTTTTCTAGTTTCCAATAGCTTGACAGGCTCAATAAAACAAATACAAAAAAATCCCATCAATTACAAAGAGAATGGGTAAATAGATATCTTTTAAAAAATTGAGAGAATAAAAACCATACCCAGATATTCATATTATACAATGATTAAGATTTTATTTCAATCAATTTTTAGAGACTAGATCCTGGGCTTTACATGTCCCTCTTTTCATGTACGATATGAAAACCTGAAGAAACCCAGGTGTGGTGGCTCATGCTTGTAATCCTAGACACTTGGGAGGCAGAGAGAAGATGACAGAAGACCAGTCTGTGCAAGGGTTAATAAGACATCTTGTCTCAAAATAAAGCTAAATGGGGAGGTATATAACCTGCAATCCCAGCTACTTGGGATGTGGAAGTTAAGAATTTCACAGTCAGAAGATGACCAGGGCAAAAGCACAAGATTCTGAGTTTAATCAGTACTGATCTCCTCACCCAAAATGAAATAAAATAAACAGCAAAGAAAACGAAGAAAAATTTGGTCTCATGCAGAAGGTCAAAATACAAAAATCATTACATTTCTAGACTAGAGGCAAACAAATATAAATTTTCTAATTCTTTATTTCCAAAATAAAATAAAATTAATGTCGAAAATGAACTTTACAATTTTGGTGGGGGGTTGGGGGGAGAGTGGGGAGGATTGGATTGGGGGGGGAAGGCTGGGAAGGGATGGGAAGGGGAAACAAAGGAGGAGGCTACAATGCTTGATAAGAAATGTACTCGTTATCTTGCCCATGTAATTGTAACCCCTCTGTACAATATTTTCACAATAAAAATTAAATTAAATTAAATTAAGAAGACATACAAGACATCTAAATTGAATATAACATACCACTCGGCATAGTGAAAAATTAAGAAAATCTAACTAAAGGATACACCAGGGCTGGGAAGGTGGCTCAGTGGTAGAGTGCATACATGAGGCTCTGGGTTTGATTCCTCAGCACCCCATAAGCAGAAAAAGCTGGAAGTGGTGCTTTGGTTCAAGTGGTAGAGTGCTAGCTGGAAGTGGTGCTTTGGTTCAAGTGGTAGAGTGCTAGCCTTGAGCCGAAGAGCTGAGGGACAGCACCCAGGCCCAGAAGTTCAGGCCCCATGACCGACAAAAAAAAAAAAAAAACACCACCATACAGCTAGTAAGAAGAATCAGTGTTAAACTGTTAACTTTCCCCAAATGACATACCCACACAGTCCTACTCACAATCCCAACATTGATTTTAAACAATCTTGACAACAATACAAAAATCTTAAGAAGCTACAGTATCCAGCCTCAAAACTGACCATGAAAATACAGGTTTCTAAACAATGTGGTATTGGCTTAATGATAGAAAAAGATTGATGGAACAGATCATAGTCCAGAAATAGATTTTTTTTTAAATGTTTTGGGGCTGGGAATGAGGCTTAATGGTAGAGTGCTTGCCTAGCATGCATGAAGCCCTGGGTTTGATTCCCCAGTACCACATAAATAGAAAAAGCCGAAAATAGTGCTGTGGCTCAAGTGATAGAGTGTTAGCCTTAAGTACAGAGAGGCTCAGGGACAGTGCCCTGGCCCTGAGTTCAAGCTCCAGGACTGGGGAAAAAAAAGTTTTGGCAGTTGAATAAAACATCTGTCCTCAAGACCAAAACTATTTTCCCTGTCCCTAAAAGTGCCAGAGAACAGACAATTCTCATATTTTCTTTTGCATTAGCATCTCAAGAATACTATTAAAAAGTTATTTTTATAACTTGTGGGATGGGGAGGTGAAGGGGGAAGTGGAGAAAAGCAAAGGAAGGGGTGACACTCTCCAAAAAGAATTATACTCATAGTGGGTGCCAGTGGCTCATGCCTGTTATCCTAGCTACTCAATCAACGGCTGAGATCTCAGGACTACGATTCGAAGCCAGCCTGGGCAGGAAAGTCCATGAGACTCTTATTATTAACCCCCATAAAACCAGCATTTTTTTAAACTGTTTTTTGTCAGTCATAGGGCTTGAACCCTGGACCTGGGTGCTGTCCCTGACCTCTTTTGCTCAAGGCTAGCACTCTACCACTTTGAGCCCAAAGCATCACTTCCAGTTTTCTGGTGGTTAACTGGAGATATCATGGACTTTCTAGCCCATGCTGGCTTCGAATCCCAATCCTCCAATCTCAGCCTCCTAAGTAGCTGCGATTATAGGGGTGAGCCAGCTGAATTGTAATTTCTTTCTGCCAACTTTTGTTTAGGGAAGAGCTTTGAGCCAAGTGCAATGGCATGTGCCTATAATTGTAGCACTCAAGAGTCCGGGGCAGCAGGATTTCAAGTTCAAAGCCAACCTGAAGTATATAATAAAACTGTAACAAGAAGGAGTGAAAAGGAAAAGGACAAGGAGAAGAGCATCACTTGCAATAAAGTAACATGGGGATAAAAATGAAAATATAGTGGTATGGTGGTATACATCTGTAATCACAGCACTTTGAGGGGCAACAGGGAGAGATCTTACCTGTGCTTATCTACCTCAACAACAATATAGAAAATACAGTTAAAAGGTAACAAAAGGGCCTGTAATTTCAGCACTTGGGAGTCTGAAGGAGGATGATCAATAGTTTGGGTCACAAAGTAGTAAAAATGCTATGTCAAAAAGCAAAACAAAACAAAACAAAAAAAAGAGTGGGTATCATGGTTAGATTAGAGTTCTTTTCACATTATTTATAATATGCATAAATAGTTTTTGAGTTTTTAATTTCACAGCTACTGTGGCCTTAAATAACATGATTCCATAATTACACTATACTTCTTCATAGAAAACTCATTTCCAAACATAAAGAACCCCAGTCAAAACATTAAAAAAAAAATCAGAGAGAGCTGGCATATAGATCAGTGGCAAGAGTGTCTGTTTGATATATGAGGCCCTGGGCCAGATCCTCACATCACACACACTAATCAAATTCCAACACAGAAAAATTCTACAAAATAGGTGACCATTAGTCATCAACACAGTCAAGGTCATCTAAAACAAGAAATGTCTGACCAATAGTCATAGTCAAAGAGCTTATGATGACAGGACTTGATATAATTAAGATATCTGATAGGAATTGGGAAAGGAAAGGTAACTAAATAAACCGGGCTAAGTAAAGTAAGTCAAGATCAGACACACATACGGAATATGTTTTCTCTCATAAGCAGAAGTTAGATCTAAAATACAGTAGGGCATGATAAATTCTACAGGACTTTAGACATTCACAAACCAAAGGAGGATACTCTTAGGAGAGAATACAAACGTACAATGCCTATGTGCATTTGATCATGTAGAATAGTATTTATGGAAATGAACTCCACAAAATGGAAACAAGAAGTTTTTTTCTTTGTTAAAAGATAAAAAATAGGGGCTGGGAAGGTGGCTCAGTGGCAGAGCGCTTGCCTTGCATGCCTGAGGCCCTGGGTTCGATTCCTCAGCACCACATAAACAAAGAGAAAAAAGCTGGAAGTGGCGCTGTGGCTCAAGTGGTAGAGCACTAGCCTTGAGCTGAAGAGCTGAGGGACAGCGCCCAGGCCCAAAGTTCAGGCCCCATGACCGGACCCCCCCCCCCCCCAAAAAAAAGATAACAA